ATAGATGAGATATGGATGTATTTTAGGTTGCACTGTCCAGAGCAGCCTGCCCTTTCAGCTCTCTTGAAATGTACTACTGTACTAAAAGCCACCTGAACAGGTGCTGTTATTAGAGTTATCAAATTAAGATGGATTTTAAATAGCCTACTTAAGAATAATTGTAAACAAAAAATATTGTTTACTACTCTACACATCTTCTGTCTGACTGAAAACTTGTCCGTTCAGACTGCACCGCAGCCCCATTATGTTTCTATATGTGGCACTTGAAGCAGTTGAGCATATTTGATGTACTGTATGATTCTTGCAATTTTGGGATTATTCCCATGTGGTTGAAATGCCCTTATTGTACGTCGCTTTGGAAAAAAGTGTCAGTAATAAATATGATGTACTATTGAACCATAAAACCACTTTTTAAACCAATATTATTACATTGGATTTCTGTGGTACTTAATGGCAAAAAAAAGGCCAGCAAAGACAGAAAATTTACTCCCGATGGTAAAAAGCTTTTCATAATAACTATAACAATACCAGTAACATAATACTGTACATGTAAAAATGCTAAAAGACACAAAAACCTAAAAGTTTGTCTTTGGATTTTTTATATTATTTGAAGCAGGTGTGTCAGTCTGTTGTTCCCTGTTGCAGGTCCACAGCGTCTGAACTGTTGCTGGAATGTGAAGAAGAGGAGCTGGAGCCATCGCAGAAACAAACTCCACATGTTGACTTGAAAGATGAGGATGATGGTGGAGAGTTGAGTACGTCCAAATTCCTGAAAAATATGTTTGTGTTGAGGTTTTCAAACATCCAACTTCCGTACTCCTTAAAAACACAAATAACGGTTCTATGCGTTTCAAAATGGCCTGTTACTGTCAGATGAGCATTGATAGGTTTTTATCATAATATTGCTATTTGAGTAATATTAAAAAATATAAAAGGTATTTCATAGATAGATTGAACTAGATTTATATTTTTTACAGGTAATGACCAAACGGATTGTAAGCCGGAGACTTCAGCTCTTCAGAGAAACGCAGGGAGTACTTCACCACCTAGACTGAAAACACAAAGTCCACAGCCTGTTCTCTTCAACAGCCAAGTAATTTGGTTATTAGTGTTATTTTACGTGTTATAAATAACTTTGATAACAGATGAAAACATGTTGTAAATACCTCGACATGTAGTGTATGTTTTAAATGGTTGTCATGTGGATACTGTCAGTGTTTGTTGAAATATAGCCTTCGTTTCTCCATTTCTCAGGGCTTCGTTGTGGTTTCTCCCCACTTAACAAGAAATACTGAGTTCCATGGCTCTCTCAGGACACAGGCCTGTGCCGGGAATTCATTTCCAATAATAACAGGTAAAAGTGAGGATAGCTCTGTGGAGACCTTTCATATCTTTTCAATGACTGTGTAATGTTCCTTGTCTTTTTATGGTAATGTCCTTTTTTTGTGATGTATTACTAAGTTTATTAAGAGTTTGTTGTTTTTCAGCTACTCAGCATCAACTTTTCCAGAAAGTAGCTACAGCGACAGTAAAACCTGAGGCCTGTGTTGTCCTCACTTCTGAGCTGCATCAAATCAGCAACAACCCCGTGTCCTTATCCGCTCTCCAGTGTCCTGCAGTATATGCAATGTTATCTAACCAACTGGAGTCAGACTAGACCAGACTCTTTCTGTACCTTTTTCTCTGCCTGGCTTTACCATACTTGAACTCAAATCAACTGGCACATCAAACAAACAATAAATAATAAACATTACTGCACCAAGAGAGCACAATGTAACTGTCACACACATTCCACTTCAAGGTAAAGATATGTTTTTTATTCAAATATTATGTTCTGTAAAATAAATTCTTAAAGCAAAAACCATTTTCAGGTGCTTCGTTATGTATTATTCAGATGCATGGTTCATAGTTGCTCTATAAAACATGCAGATCAGATCAAACACTGTTCAAGCTGATAAAATGTTGAAAGTCTCCCTGTGAAGCACCACATAATTGTTTAGTTTGCTGCTAAGGGCTAACCATGCCTGCTGTTATATAAATGTTGGTCTAAATCAGTGGTTCCCAAACTAATATACACCCCCCCCCTTCCCCCTTGGAAGCCCCCATCCATTGTCATGTAACCTGATTGCAGTTTTTATCCACCTGTAACAATACTGGGGAAACTAGTAAGAACAGAAGCCATGTTTATTTATTTCATGCTTTGCTTTCTGAACAGATATTCATAACCTCAGTCTGTATCTGTTCAGGAACAAGTCCTACTGTTTTGATTTGACAGGCCAATCATGATTACTGATTGTTTACATTGTAGTGGCCAAGTGGTGTGAAAATATTTGTAAAAGTGTTCATTCATGGAAAGTGTATTTTTGTACTTTAAGTGAAGGTTCTATGAAATGATGGAAAAGTTGGCTTACCTCTGGTTTTACTTGTCTCTGAGATTTGTACCTCCACTCTAAAACAAAGACCTGAATGGACTTTTGTGGTGGCCACAAACTGAAAAAATAAAACGGCACCATCAGTTCCAGAAACTCACTGTTGACACTGGAGATGTATAAAACTACTAAACACTCAGTACTACTGCATGTTACATAACTCGTGACCTATGCTTCACTCAAACCAAAGCAATAACCCTGGCAGGAAAAAATACATGTTTACTTTGGTGTAACATATCTTACATGTTCTCTGTATTTAATTACAGTTGTAGACCTCCTTCTTGTGCGTGCCCCAGTGCCACTAATAATCAAATAGGAGCAATATGACTCAAATGTAGAAAATTACATAGACCATGTTAGGTTTTTCTTTTGGATGGTGAACTTAATTTTAAGGCTTTACTTTTGTAAGGACGTGCTGTCTTTGTGGTGTCATATTTTCAAACTATATATATATTTTCTCAGCCAGGTTTAGTCTAAACTGTACATAGTGGAATGTAGACCATATAGACTAGACCTTGATGTGACCCTTGAGTTGATGGATCCATGTACAGAGCACCAATATGACCTGAATAAAACCTTAATGATAAAAATGTAATAGATAGTGCCAGAGAGTAAGGTATTTAAAATGTACCAGTAAAATAACATTTGCATCATTGTCAAAAACAATTTGGAAAGCCACCAAATCTTTTTCTCAACTTAGTAGTAGATATCAAAGGCATATAGGTAGGCCCTCAACAGTTACGGGCCAGTGCACCTATACTCACTTCTTTCTGCCTTTGTGTAAGGTATAAAGAAGTTTCATAATCTGACATCATTTGTTTATTTACTTTTTAAAATGTACATTTGTAGTGCTATATGTTTTGGAAATAATGAAACTTTATCAAACCAAACTTCAGAATACAAGATTTATGACATGTTCCGTCTTTAATCCATAATCAGAATCAAATAGTCACAGCACATCTGTAGCCTACATGTGTAAGAGAGTGAATCAGTTGACTTTGGCAATAATAATGGTAAAGACTGAACAGGATGTAGGCTCAGTCAAAGTGGATGGACACTGTTTTCTAAATGTCAGACTTTTTATTTGAGGATGAAAACCATATTATGATCACTATCTTGTTGCTGCTGTTTACATTCTCGCAGACGCAAATTCAAAACATTCACTGCAGAATCATTTGCTGGGTGTATACATGTAGGGGAGAGCTGGGTGAGTTGAGCCAATGTGAGGACATGACAGTCTTTTTCCCAACTAAAATATGTGTATATTTCAGGATGTGGTGCATCGCTGAGAATCACTTTGGATCTAAAACAGTTTTCAAAAATGACTTTTCGAAAAAAATAAGTGGACTCTTGGCTCAACTAGCCCCCAATGAGGGGTAAGTTAAGCCACACTGGGGGTCAGGGACATCAGTATAATTTTGTTGTGCCAACTCACATGCCAGTTTACAACATTTCATTGCACTTCGTTTCATATCAGTGTATCTCCTGGACCTCTATGGACCTCTCATTCTGTACCTGTCCCACTGATTTGCCCAAATCCACAAGAGGAGTTAAAGCCCTGTCTGTCATCCAGTAATAGAAGCATTGCATGATGGCTTCTGGTCTAAAATTCATGTCCCATCATTTCGGTAATAAAATGTAAGAATGCAATGTAGAATTTGTAAAATACCTTACTCGACAACAGTTTACAAAGTACAAGGTAGGTTTATTTGTCACATTACAACAAGTTAAGTGAAATTAAGTTTGTAACTCTCTCCTGCTACGTAGCAGACAATATACAGTAATACAAAAGCAATCGTAAAAAATGTTAGACAGAAATAAACTATATTCGGTGGAGCAGTGCTGATGATGACTGAGTTTAAAAGTCTCATAGATTGGGGGGAAAACTGCTCTGCAGTCTAGTGGTGCAGCAGCAGAAACCTCTATATATCTTCCCAGAAGTCAGCAGGGTGAACAGGCTGTGGCAGGTGTGGTTACTTTCCTTTTGTATCCTTTGGGCTCTGTATAGGCACCTCACCTCACCAACATCACTGATGCTGGAGAGATGGGTACTAATGATCTTCTGAGCAGTCTGAAGCAGTTTGCCAGGAACCTGAAGCCTCATTGTAACTTCCCAAAGCATGAACATGTGTTTTTTCAAACACATGTTCAAAAATCATGACTCCTTGAACAGTTTTTTTTTTTTTACTTAAATGTGCTTATCACCTATTTCAAGGGCCTGTCTCCATCACAGCCTAAGTAAAATGGACGACTCTTGTGTGGTCACCATGGTCACATGACCAATTTTGTCATTTGGCTCAACTTCCCCCACAGGCTCAAATCACCCCGCTCTCCCCTATGTATATAAATTATCTGTTAAGTTATATGTGTGTAGCATGAAGGGCTGGAGGTACATGGAATATTTCACCCATATAGGCAATAACAGACCGTAATAACAGCGTGGTACTAATGGTGAAGAAAAAACAGTTAATGTTAATGTAAAGAAAAACCCGCGGGAGAGACCAGGAAGTACTAGAAATTAAAAAGGAAGTGATGAACACAACTCCACGGTAATTGGTCCAGACAGTCAGAGCTCTCTCCGCCGCCTTGGGCAGAGATAGTTTTGCCCCTCCTTTGAGAAGTACATTTGCACCATCTGAACGCTGTCGTCCTCAGGTTAAAGGACTTGCTGAAGGTAGTGTCTAGACACGGCCCTGCCTTGAAGCCCAGAGGCCGGGTGTGAGAAAGGTAAGCTGAAACCACGTACACCAAACTCTTGAGTGCAGTCTTTGTCCCAACATCCACCTCCCAGATAATGTGAACATGCTAACGGAGCCTAGCTAATGGTATGGTGCGCTGATCGATAACCAATAACTCTACAAAAGCCTTTGATGAAGCTCTCGTGTGTTAATCATGGGATGAATGTAACTGTTGAAATTTTAAAAGGCCGATTTTGTACTTAATGCTGTTATCCCGTTGTAGACTGCACCAGCTGAAGAGCATGGGCATTGGCAATCATAAACGGTGGCTAGTTAGCATTAGCTGCCTTGATTTAGCTTGCTGAAAAGGACCGAGAAGCTAACAACACACCGTTAGCTAAGGTAGTGGTAACGTTAACGTTAGTTAATGACTGCTCGGAGTTTTGTTGGAAACTTATCGCTGTCTTTTCATTTAACGTTAATACATTTTTATTAAATGTAAAATTTGATTGTGAAGGTAAAAAAGCATCTTTACGTTCTCATATCATTTCTCACCAAATTGTACTTTATCGCTAGAAAACAGCTTGTGCCTGTCCCACATTTGCAAACAATGGTATGTAAATAATGACAACTTTTTATAGTGTTTAAGAATTTAATTTGTGTCCCCTTTATTTGGGCAGAGGCTTAACAGCTGCATCAGCAATTCCATAGCAACCAATACTGTCGCCACCTTGGACACTAGTTGAAAAGCTTTGTTTCAATAAAAGGCTAATTTATATTTATATTGATTATTCATCTGCTTAAAATTAACAGCCGTAAATACGGCTATCATATCCAGTTTCTCTTAAAACCATTTGCAAAAATTGTTCTAATTGCTTTGGTTGGCTGTTTTAGTCCCTGTTGCAAAAAGGAAAGATATTTTATATCACGCCAATGCTTTTAAAGGGCCTATAATCGACATTTTAATGTTAACAGTGGGGCAGATTACTGTGTGTAACTACTGGAGGAGTTGTCAAGATGACTGCCGAGTGGTGGGACTTGCCTATAAGTACCTTGACATAGTTGAGGGTTTAGCAGTTTAAGAGCCAAATATATGCCCCAGGAGTTGACCACATTGAAGTTAGTTCCAGTACAACAAGTCAGAAAACCAAGATGGACGCCTTCAGGAAAACCTCTGTTGTGCTTGCTCTTATCGAATAACCCAAACATTATGTGGTATTTTGCACATAAAAATACTGTAGCAACATGTCTACAGATATAAATTGGACAGTACCTTGTGCACGGCTGATTTAACAAGACACAAATAAGACAGGAGTGCAATAAACTGTATATTACTACAGCTTTCACTTCCTGTTAATGCTCTGGGCAGCCATCTTGGATTTTTAGGATTTACTTTTTAAGCAATGGAGAATGTTGCAAGCTATGATATTGTTTGCTTGAATTTTTGAGGATAGCCGATGCCGATATGTAGAGAGCAGGGCTGCCTGTGGCATTTAATGCTGATATTACAGTAGTATAGTAATAGTACAATCTAATATAAATGGTTGTCTAGCCAGTAACGTGTTGTTTTAGATGGCATTTTTATTAATTAATGAAATGGAAAAATAGATTGAGTTATGCTGTAGATTTCGTAACTTTTCTAGTGTTTAAGGGAGAGTGGGGTACAGTTAGTCAGAAGTGACATCATTCAACTTTATGATAATGAAATGAATGATGTATTATTCTCTACAATATATATTAAACGCTAGCCAGTAATGGTTTTAGATTATTATTGGTTTTATTTGCTGTCGTTTAGGATGATCAGATTAATCAGCCTTTTAGTACTATAAATAAACGATATTTCACTTGTAATGCAAATAATTTTAAACATTCTTTTAAAGATAAGTGTTCATTGCAGGCAGTGGTTAAGTAACATATTCATATTGGACCTGACTAAGAATACTGGTAGCAGCAATCGCATGATGGTTCACATTTTAAAATGTTTAAAAGGGCGAACAATCTCTACAGGCTGCAAACATTTCTTCAACCATTACCGTTAATTATCAGGTTATTGCAGTGTATATAATTTCATCCTCGAACTTCACACCTTAATATGATTTTACCAGTAACCTGGTTTCTGTGTGCATTTAAATGTAGTTACTGCATCAGTGCCTCATGTATTCAACAAAACTATCTATCAGATGTACGGTGCCAAAGGGCCTCTTTCACAGCAGACTCTATGTGACCTGTCATAGTAATTTATATTACTAATAAAATTAATTGTGACAGCGAGCCAGCACACACAATACCAGGATCCTGAAACTGAAGTATGAAATTAATAAATTCATCATTAATTTCTTTATTTGCTTCTTTATTACCTTTCTTTATTTAATATTGTTTAAATATTTATCTCCACATTGATGTCTCGTGCTTCTTTTTTATTATCCACATGTTGAGCTTAAGCCTACACTGTTAAAGCTGAAAATGTTGAGGAAGATGTTTCTTTAAAGTTTATCAAATAGTTTTCCACCAGCTTGCTTTAGATTTACATTTACTCATTTGGCAGACGCTTTTATCCAAAGCGACTTACATTTGAGAAACAACATACAAGCATCAACAGAGCATCAAATACAGATCTACATCTAAGAGCAGCAATAAATACTAGTAAGAGCTAATAGCACATATCGCATCAATGGGGTAAATATCTAGGGAAAGAATTAAGAGTTAACAAAAAAGTGCTATCAATACAAGATAATTATAAGAGGATAGGAGAAGAAGGGCACAGGAAGTGCATGTTAGATGTTAGGAGTTAGAGGTGTTATAAGAGGAAGTGTTCTCAGAAGAGAGGAGTTTTCAAGAGCTTCTTGAAGTTAGAGAGGGACACCCCTGCTCTGATGGCGTGTGGTAGTTCGTTCCACCATCGTGGTGTCACAGATGAGAACAGCCGGGACTGAGATTGCTTTGTGTGAAGGGATGGCAGAGCCAGGCTGCGTTCGTTGGAGGAGCGTAGTGGCCGAGAAGGAACATAAACTTGTATTATGGAGTTTAGATAGACGGGTGCAAACCCAGTAGTCACTCTGTATTCAAGCATTAGTGACTTGAATCTAATTCTGGAGGACATTGGTAGCCAGTGGAGGTCATGCAGTAATGGAGTGACATGAGTCCTTTAGATGCCAAAGAATTCATTTTGTGATAAAAATAATTAGCTTGTAGTGTATATTTGGTCATTTTGTTGTAGTAGTAAAAAAAGTGTTACAGGAAGTAGCGTTCACGTTGGCTAAACATTGTGTTTTTCTGTTGCAGGTCCACAATGTCTGAGCTTTTTATGGAATGTGTGGAGGAGGAGCTAGAACCGTGGCAGAAACAAGTTCCTGAAGTTCACCTGATAGAAGATGATGACGATGAACCCATCTTCGTTGGAGTGCTCTGTAAGTCATAGCGGATTTTTAAATACATTCATGTTTAGCGCTTTAACACCTAATTTTTGTGGGTTTTTCATTGCGTAATTACACTATGACAAGATTAGGTGCTCCGCATGCTGGCTTGTTAATGACACAGCTTATCAAACGAACGAAACAATGTGGTACCGAATGACATCTGCGCTCGTGTGTTCACTGTTGCTCTACATAGTCCGTGCTTGTAAAATATCCACCGTTTCCACGTCTTGTAACGTACCCGAGTGCCTGAAACACTGCCTTTAAAAGACGAATCCCCCCCACCCCAATGTCATTGTCCATCCCAGTGTTTTACTTTACAGTCTATGGTTTTATTGAAGACATCGTCGGATGCCAATTTTGTAGACATCAGTCAACCCTACTACATGCGGAATCCCAAATTGCTGTATTACTTCCTGTTTCTGATAAGTGCATGAAAGCCTCTGCATCTGTGTGTGTGTTTGTGAGAGTGACTGGGGGAATGTTGACTTGTAGTGTACAGGGCTTTGGGTGGTCGAAAGAGTAGAAAGGCGCCATACATGTGCTATCCATCTATTTACCCAGCTGTTTAATACGTGGTATTAAACGATTTAATGTTAACTCAGCATTGATAATTTGTAATTAAATTGATATTTATTATAGTCATCTCATCTTCTTTGTTCAAGAGTTTTTCACTTGCAAAGACAAGAGATCCTGATAAAGTGCTTATTTTGGCCCTTTTTTGCATGTTCTTACAGCTAATAACCAAAAGGATGATAAACCTAACCCTCCACCTCCCCAGAGGAGCAGTGCAGAGAAACAAGAAGTAAAGCCTCCTGCTCCTCAGCCTGCCATTGGGTCCTCACCAATAATGCTGCCACTGAGCATCACTGGAAATGCAGTGAATACTGCTGCACCCAATCTGACAACAGTCACTCCTCAGCCTGTTATCGTCAATAACCAGGTATTGTTGGTATAAACTTTTTTTTTTTTTTTTGTGCAATAAGAACAGACACTCATTTACTGTGGATTTCTTTCTTTCTTTTTTTCAGGGCTTTATTGTCACTTCTCCACAATTAGCAAACAGCAGTGAGTTTATTGCCTCTCTTGGGACCCAGTACCCCCCGGGGACTTCATTTACGATCGTACCAGGTAAACCTGAGTATAATGTACCTGTAAGGAGTAAATATTTTCCCTCTTATCAGTGGTTTTGTGGCATAATAGAAAAGCTTCATCAAAGGCTTTTGTAGAGTTAATCGGGTAAGTTTGTCTCAAGAGTTGTTTGTTCTGTCTTTCAGCTGGTCAGCAGCATCTTTTTCAGCAGGTGACTCCAGCCACAGTAATACCTGGTGCCGTCCACAGGCCTCAGGTGCAACAAATAAGCAATAACATTGTAACGCTGTCGAACGTCCAGAGCCCTGCTGTGTATTCAACCCAGTCTAATCAGCTGCAACCCAACCGGTCCAACTCGCTATCTCTTCAGACCTTTTCTATGCCTATGAAGGCCAATAGCAATAACAGAGGTACTTCTCTAAAAATAAAGTTTTAACCTTACTTTACCATACTTGCAGATCTTTTGGCTGGCAGTAATTAAAATGTTAATGTATTTTCTTGGATTTCGCACAGATCAAATCTTACTCAAACGAGGATTGCAGCCACAGCAAATAGACAGCGTCGCAAAAAGAGTCAAGCTTGATTTGGGTAAGTTTCAATCACTAAATGAATTGTATTGATACTGTTTTACACTCTCATTATATTGTAAACAAACCCGAACATCTTGTTTTAATAGCTTGTTAATTGAAACATGTAACTGTTTTTCTGTAGGGCCGACAAAAGTAGTCCCAGTGGAAAATGGGGTCTTAAAGAAAAAGTGCTCAAAGTGTCAGGAAGAATTCCTTACGCAGGAAGCCCTGAGATGTCACGCGAGTGTGAGTAAAAAACTTGTGGAATCGTGGAAATGAACATAAACATGTAGTAGATAATGGGGCTGAATGATTTTGGAAAATAATGTAATTGCTATTATTTTTTACCAATATTGCAATTTAATATGATAAATTTTTAAGCTCTTTACCTTCTTTATTATTCAAAACGGACAGGCAGTTAATCACTATATAGTATAACCAGCACAATATTAGATAGATTAAACATACACTTGAATTGCATTAATTACTATTATGAGCAATGGTGGAGAAGTATCAAATTTTAATAATATGAGAAAGATAATTTGAATCAAGTCATGGCATTAAATAATATGATATAATGTCACCAGGTCGGCCAAACTATAGACCACAAGAAAAACTAAGTTCACCACAGTGTGTTATACAGTAGGCGCTCAATACAAAACGGTTCAGTTCAACCACCAATTAATGCGTCCTTATCTCAGCTCAGACCATAGGAGTCCCTCTTTCTATATCCCAGTAAGCAAGCAAAAAACACTCAGTTTGAGGTTCAATTCAAAAGTTGGCCAACGAAAATAAAACCAATTGTTGTCTCTCGTGTTTAATAGAGAAGCTTAGTAATTCTCCGAGTAATTTCAACCACCATCACCACCAAGTTACCTGCGAGTGTCGGGTGCTACTTTCATTCCCTGTGTGACACTAAAGTTTCTCTAGTGTCAGCTTCTGTCAAGCTTAAGGCCATTTTACAGCATAACGTGCGAACTTGATGCTTCGTCTGCAGACTGCTTTACTCTTGGGTGTCATGTGACATGAGGGTATCGCAGCCTTTGCGATTACAAAATCTCATTTTATCACATCGTAATAATATCGCAAATGTAATTTATCATTCAGCCCTAGTAGATAAGTATCCACCCAAATGGTTAGTTACATGATAATATTAGAAATTGTTTAGTTGTTTATTTACACTTGTAACTTCATCAATTTGTTTCTCTCTTCCTGCCTATTTCCCCCTATATTCAGTTTATTTTATCACATACAAGCGTTCAATTCTTTAAGATGCCTAAAAATGATCTTGATGTGTTGGCATCTTTGTTTATTCATGTAAAACATCTCTTTATTTCAGAGCTGCAGTGCAAACAAGGAAGGTCCAGCTCCGTCAGCGCTAGACATCAGTGCAAACAAGCGCATCATGCTGGTCTCAGATTTCTACTACGGCCGTTTTGAGGGAGATGGGAAGAAGAAAGAGACCCAGAAGCCCAACACCACTTTCAAGTGCCAGAGCTGTTTAAAAGTTCTCAAGAACAATATCAGGTATGATGATGTGTTTTCTTCCCCTAAAATAACAGGATATTAATCCATTTCTTTCCTTTATGTTATGGTTTTTCCTTGCTAAATATACTATGTCAGCATTAAAGATAAAATACTACAAGGACACAGTACAGCTATGTTTGTTGTGTCCCACCTCGCCTTCACTTGAGGTCAAGCTGCAATCCTTCGGGCATCCCAGTACTTGTCTTCTGTTTCAAGGGCCCCACTGGGCCCAAAAAGCTGCAGCATTGAACTTTTTGTTTGTTGATGATTTATGCAGTAAACAATTAATATGATCCACAGATGAATCGATAATGAAAGTAAAGGTTAGTGCAGCACACAGTAGATCTGAATAGCGATGGGCGATGTCTACAATGAAACATCGGGATGGACTATCGGGGGGCAGCAGTCGTCAGCATGTGTTCTCTTACAGACTTCACTTGTTAAAGAAAAAAAAAAATTGGAAGACTGTTAACTTATGTTACAAGTGGTGGATATTTTATGCACGGACGAGGTAAAGCAACAGTGAACACACAGAGTGCAGATGTTGGTTTCAGCTATTTGATAGGCTGCGCCATTATTAAGCAGACATGCGGCACCTGCTGCCGTGATAACAGATCGCGGGTAGAAATATACGGGAAAAAAGACGAGTTCCTGAGGTGTAGGTGTATTACTTTTCATGTGACAACACTGAAGAAAAGATACATTGCTACAATGTAAAGTAGTGCGTATATACCTTGTATAACAGGATGAAAATTTTAATTGTCTGTCGTGCAGCTCACCTGCTGAATGGATTGAGGGAGGAAATATACAGAAAAAAGATGAGTTCTTTTTAGGTGACTTTATAAAACATACTGCTGATGGAGAAAATGGAGCAGAGGGGGGCGATAGAGACAGAGAGAGGCAGGGCAAGCCGGGTTGTTTACCTGACATGTAGGTGTGTGTGAGTGTGTCAGAGTGTGGGGAGAAGGGAATTCCGAGGCAGGTGCAAAACATACTTAAAAACAATGATAAGACTGTTCGTGGTCATTAACACCTGCTTTCACGGGGTAGTGTTAGCGCTGGACAATAAAACAATAATAATTATCGCAGTATAATTTTTTTTCAATAACAATGTTCAATAAATATTCAATAAATGTTTGACTTTATTCACTTGAATCATACACAAATTAGGACTTTTTTTTTTATTAAGATGTTTATTTTGTGGGGGAAAAGGAACCAAAAAAAGCTTTTACTTAATTTGACTCGTGCATATTTGTTGACAAAGATTTGATCATAATTATGTTCTTACTCAGATTTGTGAAGTGATCCACTGTTTAGCATCTAGTGTTGATCATAATTTAGAGTTTAAACCACAATTAACCATCAGGTTTCTTCAACTTCCACTAAGGAGCAAAAATCAGCCTCAACTCAAAAGAAATAACAATTTGATCCTTATCGTGATAATTATTGATATCGAAAGATATGAAAATCTTTATCGTGATAACATTTTTGGCCATATCGTCCAGCCCTAGGTGGTATAATGTGAAAATTTGAGAATTTCTTTTGCGGGGGGGGGTTACAATCACGGTGGGGGCTCAACGTCGTGACGTCTGTCAGCCATCATCGATGGCATCATCTATCGGCCCAACCCTACTAGCTGCAGACGGGAAGAAGCTGTTTTTGTGGCGAGAGGTTTTGGTCCTGATTGACCGCAGCCTACTGCCAGAGGGAAGAGTCTGAAACAGTTTGTGTCCAGGATGGGAAGGGTCAGCTGCAATCTTTCCTGCTCTCTTCAGAGTCCTGGAGGCATACAGTTCCTGAAGTGATGGAAGATTGCAGCCAATCACCTTCTCTGCAGAGCAAATGAGACGCTGCAGCCTGCCTTTGTTCCTGGCAGTGGCAGCAGCGTACCAGATGGTGATGGAGGAGGTGAGGATGGACTCAATGATGGCGGTGTAGAAGTGCACCATCATTGTCTTTGGCAGGCTGAACTTCTTCAGCTGCCGCAAGAAGTACATCCTCTGCTGGGCCTTCTTGGTGATGGAGGTGATGTTCAGCTCCCACTTGAGGTCCTGGGAGATGATGGTGCCCAGGAAGCAGAAGGAGTCCACAGTGACAACTGGGGAGTCACGCAAGATGATGGGGGAGGGTGGGGCTGTGCTCTTTCTAAAATCTGCGATCATCTCCACTGTCTTCAGAGCGTTGAGCTGCTGGTGGTTCTGGCTGCACCAGGTCACCAGATGGTCGATCTCCCACCAGTAGGCGGACTCATCCCCACCATGAGATAAGCCCAATGAGGGTGGTGTCATCCGCAAACTTCAGGAGCTTGTCCTGCAGCAGGGCCAGGATGATGGTATTGAAAGCAGATCTGAAATCCCCAAACAGGTTATAGGTTCCTGGGGAGTCCAGGTGCTGGAGGATGTAGTGAAGGGCCATGTTTACTGCATCATCTACAGACCTGTTGGCTCTGAAGGCAAACTGCAGGGGGTCCAGCTGTCAAACCGGCAGTAGAACTGGTTCAGCTCTTTTGCCAGGCAAGAGTTGTTCGAGTGAGGGACTTTTGGTTTGTAGTTAGTGATCTGTCTGAACCCCCTCCAGACAGAAGTTTGCAGAGAACTGGTCCTTTAGCCTCTCTTGAGTACAGTCATTTAGCTTCTCGCACTTCCTTGCTAAACCTGTACTTTACGTGTGTGGCAGCAACCAGGAGAGAAGTGTGTCTTGCCTACAGTCAAGCATGTTGGTGGGAGTGTCACGGTCTGGGGCTGCATGTTACAAATATTTACAAAAATGTGAGGTGTATACTCACTTTTGTGAGATACTCTATGTATATTTCCTCCAGGTCACCAGCCTGGTAACACTGAGATGAAAGGCAGCAGTCACTTAAGACTTCAAAACGTAGTTGCTTTAATAGGGCAGTTGAACGTAATATGCCAAGGAGACACTTGTGTTTAGTGTTAACTTTATTTTGGACTGCTAATTGAAATATGGCACCCCATGTGTAATCACTGTTGTCCTATTGTTTGGAGGCTTTTCTCTGAAGTTCACTGTCTAAGCCCTTGAATTAATTAAGAATGGGGCAGTTAAGTTGGTTTTGAATCTATTATGATAATTAATTTTTTTGTGTAAAACTGCTGTATATTGAACCAGTGATGCGAGTTTAGTTTTCAACCAGAGTCTCCTGTCAAAAACGGTAATTCATACCGTAATTAATTTGCTCTCAAAATGCAGACTGGGACTTGAAGTACTTGCTGAAAAGATGTGTCCAATGCCAATAAAGAAAGCATGGATATTTTCCTTGGCCCTCGCTGTATTTTTTTTGTCTCAGATGGATGACAGTATTGGACTGTTTTCCCTCATGGGCCTAAACATGAAAAATGACTGCTAGTTTAGGTGGCGTAAGAACTCCTCCTTTGATTAAATAACTTTACTTCAGAATGTTGCAAAAAAAGCTTCTGTAAGCTGCTTTTAATGGCGAAACACATTTGTACTGCAACTGCACTCTCACAGTCGAGATCATAGTTCATCCACATAAAACTTTCTATTAGGAGAGCTGAGGCAGCAGAATGCGCAGGCTGAAAAATGGGCCATGCCTCATCAGGGCAGCAGTGACACGTAGGTGCAGGTGCAGCAGCTGAGCACTATATCATTAGGCAAAACAAAAATCTTTGTGTAATTGCTGATATTATAACAGCCATTATACATGCTTAGAAAGTGGGTGCAAGGAGAGTACTTCATTTATCTTTGAGGCCTTTGGGACATGGACCATAACCACTGCATGTACGCAGGCCATGAAAATGACATCGTTTCCTCACCGCTTGACATTGGTTTTGCTTTAATGTGTCTATTTTGTCTTTTTTTAAAATGGGAATATTCCTTAAATCACTGTCAATCTCCCACACATGTAGATTATGGACCCACAGTTTTGTTATTGTTTTTTTTTTTGTTGTTATTTTTGACACACATTTTTAATTAATGGATGAAAGGGTTGTGTACGGCTGACATGTTTAAAATGATTCTTTGTCGATTATTTTCTCGATTTAATTGTGCAGTTGTTTAGTCTATGAAATGTCAAAAAAACAGTGACAAAATAAGAGCACCAATGAGACACCTTGATGATCTTGTCTGACCAACTGTCCAAAATCCAAAGATATACGTTTCACCCTTCATCATGCGTGACCAAGACAAGCAGCTTATCATTTTTTAGTAGAAGTTTACGCCATTTTTACATGAAAAATTATTGAATCAGTTTAATGGTATGTAGATTGACCGATTGTTTCCTGTTGTTAATGAAACTACTATGGATCACGTTTAATGTCTGAGGAATAGTTTTTGTGAAGGTGTTTTCACCCAATTCCATAAAATTGGGATTAGATGCAGAGCAATTTATGGACGGAGCGGCTCTTCCGCTGTTAGAGACACCATGATAAACCATTGGAAATAGACATGAACCCATCTGGGTGTGGGGCGACCCATCATGCCGTTTTAACTGTATTGTTTATTGGTCTTTTCTGCTTGGGCCATATATTTACATTTGCGCCCATTTTATTTACTCTTATTTTATTCTTATACAGGATGGAGTTGTTAATATAAGGTTGCAGCCTCCAGTGTCACGTAAATCAATGTCTTTCAGTCGGTTGTGCTTCACTAAAAAAACAAGCGGGCTGATCACTGACCGCTTCCTTCTTATTAAAGTGACATTTCTGGGCTCTGTGTGTGCATCCTCTCTCCTGCAGGTTCATGAACCACATGAAGCACCACCTGGAGCTGGAAAAGCAGAACAGTGAGAGCTGGGAAAGCCACACAACTTGCCAGCATTGCTACAGACAGTACATGACTCCTTTCCAGCTGCAGTGCCACATCGAGAGTGCTCACAGCTCGATTGAATCCTCGAGTAAGTGACATAATGTAAAGAGCTCAATCTGACATGGCAGTTTGGTCAAATAATGAGTGGCTGTTTGTAATTCTTTTTGCTTTCCTTTTTCAGCCAATTGCAAGATATGCGAGCTGGCATTTGAGTCGGAGCAAGTTCTCCTGGAACACATGAAAGACAACCACAAGCCCGGAGAAATGCCCTACGTCTGCCAGGTCTGTCCCTTTTGTACTGAGTGGTGGTTTGATTTAATGTTTCAAGGAAAACATTCACCGATACTGAAACTCTGTTTTTACTGATTCCACAGGTCTGCAATTACAGGTCCTCTTTCTTCTCGGATGTGGAGACGCATTTCCGAAGTGTCCATGAAAACACAAAAGACCTGCTCTGCCCCTTCTGTCTCAAAGTTCTTAGAAGTAGTCACATATACATGCAACACTACATGAAACATCAGGTACGTCACTGCATTTCCTAGTAAAGGTTTTTTGTTGTTGTTGTTTTTTGTTTGTTTTTTAAATTTGAAGTCATGACTACACAGAGAAATGTGTTGTTGTTTTGACAGTTTACTGGTTCTGTAAATTTTCAAGATTTTTGAGAGAGTTTGAACTCATTTTTTGGTTTGTACTATTAACTCCTAACTCCAAGGTTGGATTGATTTGGTTGTCTACCGAGCACCATACTGTTATACATAAGGCTGACCATGAGACCTGCTTCTCTTCACCTTCCCTAAAGGAGCAATAACCATGATAGAGTTGGAACCAAACAAAATTAATTGTGGTTCTATTAATAGAATGAAAGTTTCTTTCTTTCATACTCGTATTCTTTCAGTGAATCCAAATGAAACATCTCAGCAATTAGCCTCTAGTCGCACAACTTATTAATCATGTTTCTTGTTTGTATATTTTTTTTTTTATCGCAGAAAAAAGGGATCCATCGCTGTGGAAAATGCAGACTGAATTTCCTCACCTACAAGGAGAAAGTGGAGCACAGGACTCACGTCCACAAGACTTTCAGAAAACCTAAAGCCCTGGAGGGCCTTCCTCCAGGAACAAAGGTCTGACCCTGTCACAACACTTACTTTAGATCTGCATGTTTTAATATTCTAAGATTCATACATACTATATTTAATTCATACATTTTGTGTTCTCTTTCCAGGTGACCATTCGAGCCTCCCTCACAGGAAAGGCACCCACCTTGCCGAGCTCCCCTGATCGATCTGGCTTTGTTGTCAGTCAAGAAACACTAAGTTTCAGTCCGCAAACCAAACCTCCAGTCGGTGTATCGACGTCTAAATCAAACGTCCCTGCAGCGGGAAAAGCCAAGGCGACTCAGAGCAAGAAGCAAGGTGGCCGCGCTACCAAGCACAACCTGGTGCTCAAGAATCTCAGGTTGTTAACTGAGCTGTTTCACCCAGCACTCGTAGACACTTTGCTATTCCAGACTGATCATTTGTGCAGCAAAACATTTTTTATTATTTTTTTTTTTTCCTACTTTTAGATTGGTAACATGCTTCAAAACTTTTGTATCTTAAATAGGAACTCCACCGATTTTATGTTTTTATGATCTTGGAGTACTGCATATGTGACAAAAGTTTTAGAAAGCATTTTGTTACTGCTGAAGGAGATGAATAAAGTCTGATAAATCGCCCCATGTGATGTCACTTGAGTCGAAGACTAAGTTCGAAAAGTGAAAAAATCTGTATGAATTATTATGGACCTAAAAAGTTAGAAAGAAGTGAGCTTATCAGGCTTCTCTAGCTTGCTCCTCATCTCAGCTTGAGGTTAGTGACTCGAGGCTACATTAGCCGCTACTAGCATTAACGCACTTGAATCTCTGATCAAACTGTCTGTTTGAGTTGCATTGTGGGTGATTTTAGGTTTTGATAAGGAATAACAATATGGGGAATAAATTTTTTTTTGAACGGTGCTATAGAAGTGCAATGCTAAAACGGTGGAGTATTTTGTTAAGAAGCAATCAACATAGACTAATGCCTCGTGCAGACTACACGACTTTCAGCGTCAGCCGATGGCCGTGCCGTTCACACTACACAACTTGCCGTCTTGTGACGGCAGTCTTGAAGTCGCTGTGGCGTTGACACTATGTGATTAATCGGTGACAAGGGGGGTCACACACTACGCAAGCTGACAAGGACTCTGTCACCCAACGCTGTTCTCCAAACCACATTTTGTCAAGAAAACACATGAAATGTGAAACGGGAATTGATGCAAACTTACACAAGAAACAGGTGTTTATTATAAAGATAGCAATTATTAAGACAGAATATGGGTTAAAGAATAGATTAGCACATGCAGGTAAAAGTAGCTGCCTGCTCTCATTGGCTAGATGTTGATGTCGAGTCAGCAGACTCCTCCAGATAAGCCTAGTTCACAGTACACGATTTTTAGCCAGATCTGCCACTTGGCGAGCTCAGCAACAGTCAGGCTGTGATCGGGGATAAATCAGCGGTCGATTGGCAGTATCTTGCAGACGTCGGCGATGTGTCAGAAATGTGTTGGGGAGCCGTTTTCATGAGTCATCGCGTAGTTCACACATAACGACTGGCGACTGGTGATCAATCGCTGATTCGCTCCCGATCAGCCTGACGGTTGCCGAGGCAAGTTGCTCTTGATGGGTAAGCACAGCTGAACGGATGTTATGACCTCAATGTCACAACTTAATAGTAATCTGTAATCCTAAGCATGTCCAGCTTTGGGCCCTCCTGAATCATTCAGGATCCCCCATCATACCCCGCCCACAGATATAGACCCCCACCTCCCGGGTAGGCATGACATGATGGGAGAAAATTAATGGACATTATTAAAGCCTAGAAACACACAAAGTAGCTAATTGTGTTTTCAATTGATTTTCCAAACGCTCTTCATTAGGCTGGCTAAAAATAATTTGGGGTAAAGCAGAGACGGTGAGATTTTATGATTTGTGGGAGTGTGATATTTGGCTAATTGGGCTCAGTAATCAAACACACTGCTGCCTTTAGTCACATCATATGGTCTTTTAAGCAGAGGAGACAAAAGATAATATAGTGGTGTAATAGAGTTCAGACTAGTAGACTAAAATTAGGAACCTGCCTCTCAGCAGACAATTAACAAAGGTAATTGGTTTTGTGTTTATGGATCTGCTATAATCAATCAACTCAGATTGTTCAAATTGATTACATCCTCAAACTCAAATTCAAGTAATTTATCCATTGTGCTCTTTGTCTCCAATTTTCAGAGTCAATAGAGGACGTTACACGTGTATCGAGTGCAACTCACAAGTTGACGACTTCTTTTCTCATTTCCCAATGGCTTCAAATTGTGGAGCGTGCAAATATCGGACCAGTTGCAAAGTTGCCATTGGGAATCACATGATAAGGTGAGTAAATATTTGAATTTAATTAGTATTTTTGGCACTTTGTGTTTGGTCCACTGTGTTTATCTGAAAAATCTTTCTCTGGCCTTTGTTAGATTTCATAGTACCATAACCAAAAACAGATTTTTGAAAATGGATCATAAGAAAAATCCAACTGCGTTAAAGTAAGTACATTTCTATTCTATTGTGTTATATTTGTATTTTGAGTGTTTTCTGTTTGAAATTGAAAAATGTCCCCCCCCCCCCCACACACACACACAGATTAACTCTGGTCTGTCTCAACTGCGACCTCCTCGTGGACTCTTCAGGTGGTGACCTGATGACCAAGCATTTAACTGACAGACCAAATCACATATGCAAAGTCATTCAAGAGAAAGGTAGGTTCTTTTCTTCCTGCTAGTACCACCCGAGTCATGGCTCGTACTTAGTGTTAAAAGTTTCTTGAAAAGGTTGTCTCTTGTTTTTAACCCACCAGATATGAAAGCCAAAGATCGAGTGTGAGTAGAAACTACTACCCACATAACATCTTGTCATCCACCTATCTTTAATATATTATTAATGATAATATATTGACACTGCAGAAGACCAAAAGACATTTAGTTAATTAGTAGTCAACTGAAATTAAGTTGCATGTTTTTCTTCTGTGACATGATTCACATCTGCTCTGTAAATCACATCTCATGTGTTCTTCTTTAAGAAAATATCAAGGACAAGAGAAGATGAAGAAGATAAATATTTATTTATTTGCATTCTAGTGCAGCCAATAAAATCAGCCAGAGAGCATCTAGCTGGACTAGCTAGCCCACATTAGCTTTCATACTGAAGTCTCCTAATCTAACTTACAAAAACAAATTTCTCCAACAACACACAGCTACACTAAGTATACCTGTTAATAGATGTCCAGCACTGCTGTAAACTTACTGATTGATAAGAGCAGATTGCTGAAGTATGCATATAAAGGATGCTTTTACAGTCATGTCATCTTCTTTTGTGCAGGCATCTCATCTTGGGGCAGCCAGCAAAGGTCTTGTACCTCTTGACATCAGCACCTGCTCAAAGACCAAAGGAAATGGACTTGAAACTAGCTGAAAGTGTGACATCTGGAAGTGTTACTGTCGCCGCTGTCAACCAACCACAATCGGAGCCGAAGTTACCGTCAGGGGATCAGGAAAAGGGTTCCACTGAAATAAGTGCCATTGAAGGTTCCTCTGAAGGACAATTAAAGCAGCCTTTGCTGCCAGCTTTATCGTCTTCCTGCACATCAGATGGGGTTTCTCTTTGCGATGAGTTGTTGGGTAACTCGGAGAGCCCCGAGGTCAGAGAGCAGCTCCCTGTCCCAGGGATTGTCCCTGAACATGAGACGGGGGGACAACAAACTAAGCCAGAATGAACCTGTACATAGCTAAACAATGCACATGCCACATGAGAAGACTGCACAGTTATGAATTTAAAAATAATTGCATCATCAGCTATACCTCTGTATTGTTTTGTTTATCAATATCGAACATATGATAATGTTGCTGTGGCTGCTGGTATTTGCTACTAGTCCCCTCAAGATTGATGTGTTTGGCAAGCCTATTTCAAAGAAACGGATTTTACACATTTTGGGGTTTATTTGGTTTTTTTCACTCTTCTGTCCAAACTTCCATTGTCAAATAGAATTGAAAGAAAAGTATGTTTGGATTTCTAAATGAAAATACAAACACTACAGTCTTCTTATTTGCCTTATAAACTACATAGTTAAATTTTCAGTCATATTTGACAGATTATAGGCCGCTCAATGTTGGTTGTTGGTTTGACTTAAGTGATTGTACCTCATTTTGTATTTCTTAAGAGGACAGTATTTGGCTCTAACCATCAGTCCAGATGGTTTATAATTTGCTTTCCTGAGAAGGGTGAACACATTTGGTCAGTGTACATGCTCCCGTTCTCTAAGGGTGCTTTCAGTAAAAAATCTCCATGTAGTTCCCTTTTAAGTTCATATACTTAAATAATGTCGTTTTGCTTTTGGATTCAATTTTGTTTAAGTCATGTTTTCTTCAGAGACTATTTTCTAATACTATCTCGATTTGAGTTAAGTTGGGGGGGGGGAGTTGAAAGTTGCATTTGAGGTTGCTATACCAAAAACACAAATTATCACTGAAATGTATACATTGTTTACAGTAAATTCCTGGTTTGTGGCTATGTGGTAAAGTTATATTGTTACCAGCTGGTTTTGAATATCCCTGAGGAAGAATTATAGTTGTATATGTATAGAAAATATTAGCTTAAAATTGTATTCCCTAAGAAAAAGAATGTCGGCTTTGTGAAACGTCTGGCTTGTATAAAACAGAACTGAGCCGTGAAAGGTGGAAAATTACTCCAACTATCTGAGGAGTCAGTAAAATAATATACGTATGCCACTGTGTTCAAGTACATTTTATCATTTTAAGAGATGTATACAAATTAACTTTGGTTGAGGAATTTGGCACGGCATTCAGCCTGATGAAATCTGTCAACCAATTTTTATGTCTTAGCTGCTGGTTGATTAAGTTGCCTTTTTATTTTGCATTTGGGGTTAAAAGGCAAATTCACTGTAGCTTTAGGAATATTTTATACAGTATCATTAGTTTACTCTGTGTGACTTAATGTTAGTCATTTTTAAGTTCTTAGATTTTTAAAAAGGGGTTAGGGTTAGGGTTATATGTATGTGTGTGTATGTATGTATGTATATATATATATATATATACACACACACACAGTATCTGTACAGCAAGTTTGTAAATACACCATTTGTCATCTATCCCCAGTCTGTTTTGAATACATTCCTGTAAAATTGTAATATTGTTTTCCCCTTTAGGACATATTTTCCTCAGATCTGTAAACTTCTGGGAATGGATCAGTGTTTTCCTCTGTTAGGTCTGTTATGTAAATAAATCTTTAATACAAGAGTTGTTGGGTGTTACTCTCTAAAGTAGCCAGATTGTTAGATCCTGTTGGTCAGAAATGAACTCCAGACAGCTCAGATGTTTGGATATTGTTATTCCTAAAACATGTCTGACCTGTAATGGGAGGCTTTTTATTCTAGATGAGTACCCTTGTATATTTTGGTTCAGCTAGTTGCTCCTATTCCACAAGCAGGGAAGCAATGTGATATATGAGGGAGATCTGATTTTACCATTACCATAGGCTACACTACATACTGTATTAGAATAGGCCACTTCAACAGTAACCGTGTACACATGCAACCTTCTGTAAATGAATGAAGGAAATGGACAGGGCTCCTAAAGCAGCAATTAAATGCTGCCAGGCAAAAATGTTGAGGAACAACAAAAAGCCAAATATTTTATGGATGTAGTAAGTGAAGCAAGGGTCATACAACCGCAATTAGGAAACGCTCAAAAACAATAAGGGAGGCTTAGTGGTAAAGCTGAAAGTTGGTTAAAAAATCACCGTAAATGGCAACTTAAGTGACACAAATACTGCCACTGCCCTCAATACCTTTTTTTGTTGATTCAGTAAAATCTGCTGCTGCTGAGGCCACACAAATAGTTTTAAATTGAACAAATGTCACTGAAACAGTCATACAGAAAAATATAAGCGATTTTCTAAAAACTCTGAAGCCTTTGGAATAGACACAATACTCCTAAAGAGTCTTTTTCTTATGTCTTTAAGGTTATTAATGCATTCTTTAATCTTCTTAAGAAGCTAAAATCTGTAGCCTGGAAATTAGCTGCAATTACACTTATTTTAAAGGGGATTATAAAACCTGTATGAAAAATACCAGACTTGAAAGTATTCTTTCTGTATCGTCAAAGGTAGCAGAAAAATGTGTATGTTGAAACTGATCCTTTTTGCTAACGCTGGCTGATTTACAGTGATGTTGATCAATGTGCATTTTCTCTGAAATTAATTAAAATTGAAACACCATGGCACATAAACATGAATGAGAAATGTCAGTGATGTGAAGGAGATTTCCATCTTTCAGCAGCCATATTTACAATAAAACATATATAATTGCATTAATTGATAGTTGATTGTGAACATTTATTCATACTGTAAGATGAAGGAGATTTTCCCGGAACTGACGTCATTGTGGACGCTCATTTTTATTGGCTGAGAGTAAGTAGACGCGGCGTTTCCAGGACAACTGGACGCCAAACAACTGAGGAGACCTAGCTACACCTCGGGTCAACTGCGACTGATTAATTAAGCTCATGGCCGCTGTGCATCGAAAACTTATTTGAGCTTAATTAATCCAAAGAGTCAGAGAGTCAAGAGGACTTAATTCAAGAAGGAGGGAATCGACGCAAAGCAACGCAAACATGGTAAATCCTCGTGGCCAAACCGAAGTTAATGTTAGCTTGACCGCTGCAAACAGAGCAGCTAGGTTACTAACGTTACACTGTTTTATTTTAGTACAGGATAAATCACAACTTATTAATAATTTACGTTATAACTAGCCTAAGTTTGAACGCATACACAGCTGCAACAGGTTGCTGGTGCCCTCCTTATACTATAAGATTTACATGGGAGGATGTTAAAGATAATGACACAACTGGAGCCACGATTTTATTTGTTTGTTTCACAAACACTACCGGCTTTGTTCACTATTTCACTGTAGGATCACACAGGCTGTTCCAAGGTTTTTACAAATTGGGACAGTTGTAGAATTGTGTTTTTGCATCAAGGCTTCGTGTACTTCCATTGCTGCATGACTTGTTAACTCATTACTTGATCCCTGAAAATTGTGTTCCTTGAAATATACATTATTTTTGCTGACCTAAATTTTGTCTTTACCTTCTTGGTTATTCTACTGCAATGGAAGTAAATGAAGCCTTGAAAGTTGATGCAAAAACAAATTTCTACAGCTGTCCCAATTTGTAAACACTTATGTGTTTATTTCACCGGGACAGAGTCGTAACTGGACTTACAGTCAGCGGCAGAGGTTAATGTCTCAGCGCCAGAGTCAGGAGCAGCACAGGCAGCAGGAGACCAGGCGCGTGGACCGGGAGAGGCAGCTGCAGGCCAGTCTGCGGGACGAGGAGGGCTTCGAGAGGAGGAGATACCTGCGACAGGTGCAGGAAGAACTCAAGGAGAGGCAAATGGAGAGCGCTCTGCAGAAGGTGTGTTATTCATTAGTGCAGTGTTTGACAGCTAACATGTTTCCACTCCACAATTATTTTTGTTTAAATACAGTATAGCAGCCCTCTTATCTCTCTTTCTTAGCTCTGCATATTGGTCCACCATTAGAAGAAACTAGGTAGTAGTGGGGATGGTCTCAGGGTTTCTTTGACTCTTCTAGTGTGATGACCAAATAAAATGGAATATACAAATATTATTTAAGAGGAAATGAAATGTAATTGTTAAAGACTTCCTTGAAATTTTTATTTAAGGCCACTTCCAAAACATTTTTATCACTTTGTTCTGAACTTTATATACTCAACTGAAAACAAAATCACAACTGGCAATGGTGATTCAGACGTCAACATCAGGTGGAGACACACCTAATTTTGTGGATAATGTGGAGGAATTGTAAGGAAGCTGTTATAATAAGCAGTAGTCTAAATACATTGATCATTGGTTTATTTTTGCGTTATTGGTAATCGGTAGTTAAAACTGTAAAAATCACGGCCCATTGGTGTCTCGAGATTCAGACTTTAAAAAGCATTGCTTTGCACAACACTACACTGTAATATCAAGGTATTAACTGTAACCTACCTAAACTCAGATGCAGATCACCAGAATTAAATTTGACTTGCAGGCAGAGGAGGAGAGAATAAACAGAGAAAAGCAACTTGAACAAGAGGAGAGAATGGCTAAAGAGCTGGCCCGCATCAACTATGAGACTCAAAGAGAAGAGAAAATGAGGCAGTATATTAAAGAGAACAGGTACGAACACTTACTGTATATTCTTCTTGCTTTTGTGTCGTCTTTATCTGCTTTGGCCTCTTCATTCCTTCTGTTCACGTTTAAGTCTTTTTGAATACTTTTCAGCATGGAGCTTCGAGAGTTGGAGTCAAAGCTGAAGTCTGCATATCTGAATAAGGAAAGAGCTGCACAGATTGCTGAGCAGGAGGCTATGAGGTTTGAGACCATGGTGAGCACTGTCCTGGTCCATTTCAGTCATTTATCAACAACAATCTGAACCACCGGTTGTAAAAGATTGATTCTGTTCTTTAAATAACTCCAGATGCTTTTCTTTGCATAATAGCCACCCGGCAGAGATCCAATGTTATTAAATATAGAAAATGCTGTAAGGAGTATATGTGTACACTTTGTTGAGAAAAGGATCTTCATGCATCAGGGCCCATATTTATGAAATACGTCAATTTAGGAGTAACAAATGTCAATATTCCTCCTAACAACGTAACTTTTAACTTTGCAAGACATTAATTTCAAGTGGACATTCATAATATTACAGAATATTTCTGAGTTGAAGCCTACAGACTATGTTCTGTGTATGTCTTTTATCTGACATTAGCGTGAGGAGGCAGACTTTGCTCGCAAGATGAAGTGCGAACATGAGCGAACAGCCGGTGAGCAGCAGAAGCTGGCACAGAAACGCCACGAGGAGCTTCTGCAGTATCAGAGAGAGCTGGAGCAGCAGCTCATTGAGAGGGAGCGCAAGAGACAAGAGGCATACGAGGAGTTCCTCAAAGAGAAGCTTATGGTTGATGAGGTTATCAGGAAGATTTATGAGGAGGATCAGATGTGAGTCTTTCATTACTAATTCTTGCACTCTTTTTTTGTACTTTTTTCCTGCTGAACAGAATAGTTAAGGGGTATGAGCAAGAACTTACAAGTCATGTAATATCCATGGAGCTGCAAAATTGCCATTGCATTCAGTTAAAAGTGACTTACATATTCAATCACTGATTCTATTCATGTAACTAACACTGTGTATATTTTTAATTTGCTGGTTCAGTATGGGTCTGCACTTCAAATCTAGTCTTCAAAGTGTCAACCATTCCCTTCCAGATGAAACATTAAGAGTGTGGTAGAATGATGGGTTTGTTGAAATATTATGTTGTTCTTGAAGGGAGAGACAACTGAAACTGGAGAAGGTCAGAGCCACTCAGCAGCACATTGAAGAATTCAAGAGACAGCAGGGTGAGTGGAGACGCATGGAGCAAGAAAAGATGGAGGCCGAGAACAGACGCATCATGGAGTTTGCGCGCCATCAAGAGCACATGGAGGCGACTAGAACGGCCAAGATGAGAGAGCAAGAAGAAGCAAAAGAGCATCTTCATAAAATAGTTAAGACAACTCTTTTTTTTTTTCCTTTTTTTTTAAATGTCCATACTTTCATCCATTCATTCAACGACACACATTTATACATATACGTCACTCCTCTCTGTTCTCTAGCTGTCTGACAAGATTGAAGAGGAGAGGCAGAAGCGTGAAGAGATGGAGCGAATCCGTGAGGAGTTGTGCTTAGAAGAACAAGAAGAGGCGAACAGGCAGAGAGATATTGTAAGTATTGTTGCTTTACTGTCAATGATTAGAAGAAGTAATTGTCGATTGATTTGTCAATTTTTTAAGTGATTGTTTGGTCTACAAAATGTAAGAAAACAGTTATTAAACACCATTACAAATATGCGGGTAACCTGCTCAGATTGCTTGTTTTGTTTGACCAACTGTACAAAACCCAAAGATAATAAATTAACAATCATGTAAGACAAAGAAAAGCAGCACATTGTCTCATTTGAAGAGCTACACCTGTCAGTGTTTGGCATTTTGCTTGATGAATTACGGCTTAATCAGCTAGTCAGCTAATAGTTGTGGCATTATGATGCTAAGTTGTATTTTGTAAGTGACGTGTAGAGCATCATTAACTGAACACGTGTTCACTGTCCACCACAAACCTCTTGAACAAAGCAATCTTAACATCACAATTAGGTAAAGCTTAGAATTAATTAACAGGAATTTTGACTGCACTATTTGCAGCTCATGAGACAAGAGACACGCAAGAGTTCCGAGTTTGCCTGAATCATCTTAATATATATTTTTTAAACTCTCAGGAAGAGATGGAGAAGAAAATCAAACAGAGGCTGATGATGCAGCGGACCCGCCAGGAGCAGATGGCTTTCAAAGAGATGCAGAGGCAGGCAGAGAAAGAGGAAGAGGAGGCCTTCAGGAAAATGATGATGGCTAAGTTTGCAGAGGACGATCGGATAGAGCAGATGAATGCCCAGAAACGACGCATGAAGCAGCTTGAGCACAAACGTGAGGTGGAGAAACTGATAGAGGACAGAAGACGGCAGCAGGAGGCTGACATGGTACAAACCACGCTCTCTCTGTGTGCATAGTTAGATCAAGAACAAGGTGGTGCTGGTGTAGTTTTTCTAGACGTTGTACTGCAGGTACTACACTGTGGAAGGCAACAGGTAGCAGCAACCAAGTTTTATCTCATTGATGTTTATTTAACACTTTCAAAGCTTTAAGGACAACAATGTTGTATCCCAACACGAAAAGAGAACTTGTAACTGTACCACAGAAAGTAAAAGATTAATTCAATCCACATAAACACATTGTACATAAAACACTGCCTCTGTAGTGTATCATCTTTGTAACATTTATCTCTCTCTTCAAGGAACTGGAGGCTAAAGAAAGAGCGACTGAGCAGGAGAGAGAGGCACTGCGTAGACGGATAGTTGAAGAAGAGAGGCAGCGACTTCTTAAACGTCACGCAACAAAACTCCTAGGATACCTTCCAAAGGTATGAGGCAGAGTTTGAGTCATAAAGAACCTGAGGAGGGTGTGTGTGACCACGAGTGTTTCTATTTTCAGGGCTTGCTCCGTGAAGACGACCTGGAGCACTTTGACGAAGACTTCAGGAAAAACTTTAAGACACGTCAGGCTGATATCTTCTCTGAAGACGGCTGGGAAGGCGATGAGTAAATGTTTTCCCCTGAAATTCTTTACTATGCCACTAGATGGAAGTTTAAGGTTACGGTGAACTACGTTTTGTGACCACAAAGTTCTTCATTCCTCTGTATTCATGATAACACTTGGTTACACTTCAGTAACAACAAAACGATTTAGAGACATCTTTTTATTGGGACTGTGATGAATTAAAATCTTTCCAGAAAAGCTCTGAGGTTGTCTGGTGGCTAGATGTGATAATAAGGAGACAAATCCAAATTTGCTCTGAATTCAAATTTCAAATTTTTTAACTGTCACCATATACAAACACACTTTTACTCCACAACATAGAAATATCTTTAAATGCTGGACCTCTCAGTGTTTCCCCCAGTCTAGAGCTTTCATGAACTCATCTTCTGTGAACGACAGCAGCTTTGCGACTTCAAAATGCATCTGCACACACAAAAAAAGTTAGCCAGTTAATATTTTAAATAAAAAATATGAACAGGATACATATTAATAGGGTGCGGTAGAGACTCTTACCTTTTGTCTTTTGAGAATGTCAATCAGCTTGAGCTGTTTCTTGAAACCCACGATGAGTTCTGCTTTCTGCTTTTTTAGCATTTTGTTTTCAGCAAGTAGATTTTCTTTACTCTGTTGTTCCTCACTGCTCTTGTCCTTATTTAAAAGCATTTAAAAGACTGAAATTAGTAGAAGTTAAGCAGAACCTTAACATTTTTGCAACCCAAGGTCTCATTTGCAAACCGGTTGCAATTAAAACACGTTGACATTAAGTTGTAGCTGGTGCTTTTACCTAAATGTTTAAAAAGACCTTCAAATATATTCCACATTAGACAGATATTTTCAAGTCCTGTGTGCAGCTTAACATTCTGCTCCTATACATGAAAGTTTTCTAATCTCCCTGCATGCTTCAGTTTTAATGTTGAGGTCACAGGACTTTGTGTGCTTCAGTTTATCAGCGTTTTCAGTATCACTGTGTAGGTGATGCATTATATTTCCACTCTAAAGATCTTTAGCACATTACCTCTCTTATTTTACTGATGTCAAAAGTACAATACTAAGACGCTCATAATTACATAGCTTAAAAGAACCCTGTAGCTCCACATTTAGCTGCTATGCACTCTACAAGTGGAATTGATTGTTTATATTCAAGTAAAGATGAAATTGTTTGTGACGGTTAGAAATGTGTTCCTTTTTCTAAGTTTTAATTTTTTATTATTAAATTCTGGTCCACTATGGGTTAAATAGTGAAGTCAAGCATCTCTGCTGCTAGGACATGTAGTGAAGAATGAAAACAAAACATTTTCTGCTGGTTAGGCTCAATTTAGCGATTTCCTAACCAGACACAGACATCTGCAACACGTTATTGTATTCAGTTAACTTTTATTTATATAGCACCAACTTCTAAAAGATGTTAACTCATTGCACTGTTCATATAGAGCATGTCTATCAGATTGTACTTTTTGTTATATTATATGATTCAGATGAAACACATTTTGTCAGACAAATCATTTATCCAAAATAAACAAAAACATGAACGTGAGCTCCTGAAAATAAACCCTAGTTCTGAATAGCTAGCTTGCAAGTCTGCAACACTATTAATACTAAGTGAAATCTGTAACTTGTGATGAAAAGAATTCCATTTGAATAATTACAGTAATAAAACCAAGAGTCTGTTTATCAGCAGTGTAGTTTGCTCACCTTGTTCATCTGTTTCATCTTGTTCAGTTGAGTCTTTAACCTCTCCCCCTCCTCCAAGGCTCTGTTCAGACGAACCTCCACAGTGCTGTGGACGGCTGCTGCTTGTTTGTGGGATCTATTCAGATTTTCTATTTCCTACACGGCCAGGGAGTAATCACATATGAGCAGTTCATATCAGTAATGGAAGATGGTTTCAAATTTTACAGTTTGTTGAAAGAAATAATCGGTCAGACTTGAAGAAATGCTCTCAGACCTTTTGTAAAGCAGAGACTTGCAGCTGAAGACCCTCACATTTTTTGGCAGACTCCTCTGCTAAAGCTCGGTGCTTCTCAATCTGTGTTTGCCGAATGCTTGTTGTTTTCTGCAGCCTGGCTCGATCCTCCTCCATCTCCTTCATTTTTGCACTAAGCTTTGCGTTTTCATCATCCTGCACCAACAAACAATGTTATCTATAAGAGGTGTTTTCAATATTAGAGTTCTATTAGAAACAATGATTCAAAAACAATAATGCAATCGCCACTGGTTTATAGTCTGGTGGTATAATCACATGGTAACTTTTGTCTAACAGATGTGTGTCATGTTTGTTTCCACCCTCATTTTCCACCACAGCTGTTCAGCTGAAGCTCTGTCCCCCTCTGCTGACAGACACAAACAACAACAGTTCTTGCTAAATCATTGTTATTCTACAAATTTTACAGTACCTTCTTAAAATATTCACATGAAAGTTGATCCAGCTCCTCTTGCATAATCCGCAGTTTGGCCTTCAGAACTCGTATTTGAGCATCTGAAATGCCTTGACAAAAAAGAGCAGTGAACACAATCAGACTTAGAAGCCCATGAAAAATGTCCTTCACTTACCCCCAATCAAACTATTTATGTGTGCTGACTGGCATATTGAATTATTTATTGTGAAAGCAAAGCACAAATTTTACTTTTGTCAGAAGTACATAAATTATGTAAAAAATAAAATAAATGTGTTAAAAGAACTAAATTGGTTGAAATCTTTTTTTAATGATTCATTTTTATCATTATTGATAAATGAAATGGAGGGTTACTTTTTGAGACGCGGCATAAAAATTACCTGAGCCCACATTGTCTCCAGCATTGGACAGATCATCCACAACATTTTCATGAGTGACAGTGTCGTCCATCTTCATCTCCATGCTTCGTATCGTCTTTGCTAGGAACGAGTCAGCTGCGTCTTCTTCAGCTGCTAAATCATCCAGATGAGACGCCTGTGGGGTTCTGAAATCAAGCAGCCTTGTGAAGAATGTTATTGCAGACTATGTTTAACATAATGTTTGACCTACACACTGTTATTTCTTTATAAATCAGGGCTCTAAAAATCATATACAATCAAACTCACGCTGTTGTACAGCGAGGCTCCTTTCCTTGTTTTCCTGCACACATGTTTTGTGATGTTGATGTGGGCCTTTTTTTGGTCACCACCTAAGAAAAGGGATTGCAAATAGAAACAGCTAAATGTAATGTAGTCTTACAGCATTAGCAAACTCTACCTGTGGTCTGTGGAGAAAAGTGTCTGCAGGTGTCCGAAATACAGTTACCTTCACACTGGGCTCCAGCACAGTGCAGTGATGAGGCTTTATTATCCTGTAGGTGCATACATACATAAAGAAAGAAAGAAAGAAATCAAAAAAAGAAAAAAAAACATTATTTCTCCTACAGGCTGGAGTGTTGTAAATGGAGACTACAGTCATTCTTGTGGCATGCATGAGCCAAAGATATTTATTACCTTGAATCCTCTTCATCCTCAATGTCTGTGAGCCGGATGGTGGAGAAGGGTTTTGACAGAACTTCACTCTGTTCTCTCTAAAATCGGATGAACAAGACGAGCCAGTTTCAAGCAAGCAAATCCCTCCCCCCCCAAAAAACTTAGATTTTTCATCTACCTGATGTGAAGACGTTGATAACTTACCATAAGCTGTTCTGCCTGTTTTACTAGATCAGCAGTTTTGGCTTCCAGCTCGGCATTTAAGAGCCTGAAGGAAATAAAATAACCTTCTAGATTAAACTGATTCAAAGAAGATCTTTTACATACATTATTTCAATTTTCATCAAAGCAAACCCAACAGATATTAGAATAGGTAATCTTACTTGTATTGTTCTTCCTTAGCAAAAAGGTCATCAGTCATCAGATTCTTTGTGGGACCAGAGGCAGATTTCACCTGTGGTCTTACTTCCTCCCTCTTGGTCCTCTGAGCCTTACTGCTGGAGGATGGGCGTTTCTTGGGCTGAACAAGACAAAGCAGTAAACTTTGTAACATTCATTTTCTAAGAGGAAATTTCACATTTCTTGAGATTTAACATTATTTTGATTAATTAGGATTTCACCTTGGTTTTCCCTAAGCTTGACTGATAAAATATTAGCTTATTACAGACTTATCAGTATGGCAAAGATGAGCGTGCAGTTCTTTAGTTTGTCCACCAGGGAGCACTGACAAGTTTACTTTCTCGACTATCAAATGTCCGGCTCAGTCTTTTTATATACAGTCTATGCGGTCAGTGCATATCTTGGTCACAGATCTAATTTAAGGGATGTTTGTTTATGTTGAGTGTTTATGCAACTTACCAAAAACCATTATCATATTTCAGTAACTCAAACATAGTTATTGTTAGTGGGCTTAAAATTGCATTATCAGTAACATTTTTCCCTTTTTTCCAGTTTTCCCCCTGCAATCAGTACAAAGTGGTACCATATAGGGACATTTTTCTACACCCAGGCTGAAGTGATTAACGTTAATTGTAAAAGAATAGAGGATGTGATTTATTGTTTTGCACTTTCTATGCATATGGCCACACATTTTGTATTCAAAGGTAAACTAAACACAGCAGTTTGTTTCTGTTGTAAAAACTGAAAAGCAATTTGTAAGAAGTGTTTGTGGACAAACCCTCAATTGCATGGGATTAGCTTGTGATATAAATATACGCTAGATCTTCCTCTATCTCAGCATCACTGTCCATAGCATCTTGGAAGAGACAGCTAGCTTGTGTTGATGTTTGTTGACTTAGGGGAGCGACTTCACCTGTTGGAAACAAATCTGTTGTTGTTTGCTGGTAGCAAACTAAAAGTTATGTTAAACATGAGATATAAACATGAAGAAATGACAGTACAAACCTGAGGGACGACGGTCTGGGGCGGACGACCCTTTTTATCACAACTTCTTTCCGCCATTGTGACCACAGGGAGACGACGCGGTTCTGGTTGCCTAGAAACGCGTAACCACTACGGTAGCCTTTTTAAAACATTAAAAGGCGAAATTTCAACACACGTTCAACAAACATGGACAAAAGTTGTATAACACCAAGTTGTACTGAAATCAAAAACAAAAATATTTAATGATATATGTACTGTATTCTTAATGACAAACTTCAAAACAAAACTTTTGTAAAGAATCTCAGTCATCCAGGTCATAGTTATCCAAGGAGGATTAAAGAAAGGGTATGGAATCAGATTTGTGCCAATTTAGTATAACAAAACCTCTTAAACACCGAGAGAGAGAGGGAGAATAATGAGAGAGAATAAAACTAACCAAAGCAAAAAAGAATACTCAAAAGTAAAATATATAGCCTAACTTGCAAACAAACTATTGGTCTTTTACTTTTTTGATAATAGTAGTCTTGTTTACAGCTCCCTCTGGTGATTTCTCACTGACCAGGCTTTTGCTCTCACTGTCAGCTTTTTTTCGTTTGTGCTGCCTGACTTTTTGTTTGCAGTTCTGACGCAAAGGTCTTGCATGGGCGGGTTTTTCAGGGGTGCATCACCATTGGCTAACTGAGTGTTTGACTGACAGCTCAGTGCCCCAGACGTTGTTCAGTGCAACAAGCTGTTGACACTGGAAACTTTGCTTTTGGACCAAGGACTGTTGTTAATGAGGCACATTGGAGGGTCCCTGGTGACTGTGCTGTTCAGAAAGACCCGGAGACAAACTGTCACTTTCCTCATCAGTGCCCACTGGACATGAGCAGATCATATGATGGAAAGTCCCTCTGTCTTGCTGACAATACCAACACACATCAGAGTCTAACAAGCGTATTCTGTTCATTCTCACTGGGGTGAAATATGTACTGTTGTCACTTTAAAGTTAATCAGCTTGTTTTTCACAGTTTTAGAGACTTTGTAAATGTCTCTACTAAAACTAAACCTCAAACATCTGTATCTAAGGTCACGCCCAGGTCTCTCTCCTAATTGCCTTGAAGAGCACTCCATCTATCCGCATGGGAGTCGTTTGCAATTTGTAAATCTTAGAAGCAATGTGTTCTTTCTCCTTAATCATGTTCTGCAGATCATCTCGCCCAAACAAGTTTTTTTCAATTGAGGAAACTGGCCAAAATAAAGCCAATTCTTCCAAGCAGCACTTTGAGACAGTAATCCACGCCTGTGTTACCTGTGGATTACTGTAATGCACTGTTCGTGTGGATCAGTGGGTCCTCTATTGCTCGTCTCCAGATGGTACAAAACGCAGCAGCGCTCTTTTAACTGGAACACGTAAACACAAGCACATTTTCCCCATTTTAGCCTCACTCCACTGGCTGCCTGAACATTATAGGATCCACTTTTTTATCCACAAAGATTATTTTACTTGCTTTTAAAAGCCTAAATGGTCTTGCCCCACCCTACATCTCTGTGCTGCTACACCCCTATAGATATATACCCGTTCTCTCAGGTGAGCCAATCAACTGCTCATAAATGTGCCCAAAACAAAGCGTAAGGTCAAAGTGGACCGTGCTTTTGCTGTGGTAGCTCCTAAACTGTGGAACGATCTACCTCTGCTCATTAGACAGACATCTTCACTGTCTGTTAAATCTGTTCTTAAAACCCACCTCTTTTCCTTGGCCTTTGAAACCTGAAGTTGACATTTTTTGATTGTATTGAATTTATTGTATGGTTGTTACTGTTTTGTATTTTAAGCTTCATGTGAGCTATGTATTTAGTGTCTTTTATTTGTTTTTCTGTGCAGCACTTTGTGTCCACTTTGGATGTTTAAAGTACATTTTGAGTGATTGATGGTTTAGCACCTTATTATCTATCCAACCTTTTATCTGATTATATTCCAATTCGCTCTCTCAGGTGCTCTGGTGCTGCTCTGCTTAATGTACCTAGAATGAACAGTAAAAAGTTTGGTGAAGCATCGTTCTGTTGTATAAATAGTTTTAAGAAGCAGCTCAAGACCTACTTTTATGCTTTTGCTTTTAACTGATTAAACACAGTTTTATTTATGTATTTATTTGATTGTATAGCCTTGTTTGCTACCTTTTAGTACCTGTGTTTGTGTTTGTGCGTATGTGCATGCTGCTGTATTTTATGCTGTATTTATTTGTTACTCGTTAAGTGCTCATGAATGTAAAGCACTTGCATTTTATGAATGAAATGTGCTCCACAAATAAAGAATATAATAATTACTATTATCTGCACATAAGATAGGAAGTATTTATCCTGTAAACTATACTTTGGTGTGTGCAGATGTGGGTAGTTTCCCACCACAGGGACTCATCAAATCCAGAAGTCTTAGATTTCCAACTCTCATTTCTCAAAGGCTTGCCACCCTGCATAAATCTGTATAGTTAGGGAGATATCAAGCAAGTTGTTAAATACAAGGGATTGATATATTTAATAATTTTACAGGAGAACTTAATCAAGTAGTTCCCTTTCATTTTCTTTTAATGGGTGAATACCATTAACCTTCTAGGGAGATCTTACCCTCCACATTGTCCAAAAACATGACTTCCCAGACAGTTCCCCTGGGAATTGAGCAATAGCCCCACTTTAATGAATACCTGCTATTGAAGGCTATATAATACTATTGATATATCTGGAAGGCCTAGCCATCCATTCACACTGTATGCATGTTAATTTGGTTAATGGTTGGTTTGCATTTTATGTTATATCATGTTTTTATGTAAAACATTAATCCGAAAAGTTACTGGTATCTACACCTTGCAAATAAATGTAGTGGATTAGAAATATGAAGGAGCATGGAAATACTCTAATACTAAATAAAGTAAACGAATCTCAAAATTGTACTTAAGTACTTGTAAGAGGCTACTTAGTTATGTTCTTCCTCTGGTAGTTATCAGCAGCGGCGTCGTTAGCCCTGGGCTATAGCCACGGATGTTTTTTGAAAAGCCCCGGATCTCAGAAGGATTTTTAAAAAATCAAACAACAAGAGGCCGAAAATTGAACTTTACTCGCTTAACTAACGTTATGCGCGCGGGAGCGAGCGAGAACGAGAGAGAGATTTTTGTTATTATTTATTCTCCTGCAAATTAGCAGAGAATAAGATGATCCAGCTCTGTGTCTGTCCTCTGGGCTCCACCTGAAGCGGCACTTTATCAGAGGCCCTGAAATTAACAGGTGTGTGGATTTGTGGTGAGGTCGATCACCTGATAGGCAGAGGAGGCATTATACATGTTTCATTTCAAAATCTATGTTTGCCCCCCGATGTCCGACGGTGAGAATGTCGCCGGTGAAACTAATCTTTCACTCAGCAGCTACCAGCTCTTATTTATTTATGAGATGCACAGAAAGAGACAGAATATGGTGGATAAAATAGTTCTGTTGGGTTTTGCGCATGACGAACAGCTTCCTCTGTATGCAGGTTTACCTGCTTCAAGAACGAGCTGCTCTCCTGTTACTGCCACATTAATTCTTTGCGTTGTGAAGATTATTTAGATGCTTCAGGAATAATCAGATAAGTATTGGCAGCCTGTGCTACAGCAAAGCAAGCTTGGTTTGGTTGGCTACATCTCCATAATAAAAGGTACAGGTAACAAAAGTTGGCTGGGCAGCAAAAGTGATATTTTAAAGTGATCTTATAAATACCTTCATGGAGTTTTAAAAAGGAAAACAATTGTAGAAATAGCTAAATTACAGATAATCAGCTTCTTCACTGCATTTGCAGGAATATTTTAATGGGCTACTTAAAAAAATTAACTCATCAAGTTGCCTAGTCTAGACATTTTTACTCTGATAGCCTATCTTGACCTCATGTGGACACATAGGGGCTGTGATCCTGCACAACAAAACATGCAAGAATTAAATCCCCACACTACCATGGATAGTAGTGGTGCAATGGGTTGCAGAATCCTTGGTATGGATCCCTTCCACAGGGTGTGGATTGATTGCAAAGTTTATGATGATTTATCCTGTTTGACCTCTCAAAATATCCTTTATTCTGGAAATGTCAGAGAACCCAGTGAGATTCTGAATGTGCAGAACTTTGAACATGAGCAGAAAACCTGCTGAAACACTGGAGCTGTTAAAGTCCAGGAGTTTATAACTGAATTAAAACTGATTTAATTTATTAATGATGAGGTAAAAAGGTGCCACATGCACATTTAAAGAACCTTAAAACCTTATCAGTCACGCCTACGTTTGTGTTGATTCAGCAGTGATGATATTAAAAGTTGATCCACAGGAGAAACATATCTGAAAGCAACCCAGAATGCCTGAGAGCTGCTCTGCATTATATTCTGTTACAGTTTTAGATTTTAAATTGTTTTATTATACTTTCATTAAACCAGAAAAAACTCTTTTTTCCAAGAGTGTCCTGGCCGAGGCAGGCAGTAGTACAATTGCACATTTAAGATGGAAATAAATGATCATTTACAAGGTCATAAAATATCAAAATGTTCTTAAATATTCACCACAATTCAGCAACAAGGATGATCAAATCAGTCATAACATCTGAAGGATGTTAGAATTGCCAGCCTTCAAGTCATTTAAAAGCAACCAGCAAAACAAAGATACAACCCCCTGCAGGCTACTTGAAGTTTGTGCGTCCCTTTACATAAATAATTTCCACAATAAATTGATGCAGAAAAGGCAGAATTTGGTGCAGAAAAACACCAGAATGCAGGAAATTAAGTGTTTAACACTCAAGATTTTCAGGGGGAGTACCCCCAGACCCCCGGTTCATACTGTCGCAGTTTTTTTGTTATATTATTTGATTTACACACATGACATTACAATTTAGCAGACATAACACAGTTAACAGTGTTGTTGTGAGTTTTGTTGTGCCGTATAAGTAGAGGATGTTTACTGTTGCTTTACTGCTTGGTGGAGGGTCAATTATTATGTGAAGATATGAAGTTTTATGGGCTGGGCTAAGCCCCCAATGTTTCAAGATCCTAAAAACGCCCCTGGTTATCAGGTAAGAAAGCCTGTATCATGTCAGTGGACTTTAGAGTGGCTTATTCCCAAACAAAGGTCCAATTTACCGAATTACCACAAGGTACTGTCAAGATGGGACTATGGGGGGGCCCTGGGAGTCTGGGTCCCTGGGATAGTTGTATACACTGTATTGCAATCCAGCCAACAGGGAATCCATATCAAAACAAATACAATGTTAATAATAAAAAAATATTATATAAATAACAAATAAGAATTTGTTTAGTTAACATGTATTTTTATTTTATTGCTGGGTCAATGTCAGCAGCCCTAACCCATATGATATCCATATTTAAATTTTACATTCACAGTAACGCGCTCACTAATGTCTTCTGCTTACATGTTGTTTTCAATGCTGGGGGTCTTATTGCGCATGCGTTCGCCCCAACAGCTAGTACTACTCACCATGCACATGCAGAGAAATCCCATAACGTGAGGGGCACAGCGCACCGGACAGACTAGCTAGTTGTTTTCCAGCTGTCCGTTTACTGTTTACACCCACCGTCATTTATATCCATGCATCACCTCGCGTTTCGCAGCGACAACTAGTTTTCCTGCACAGACTCTTTAATTCACCAAGTGTTGGGGACTTGGAGCGAGCGATGTCGGAGGAGGACTGTGTGACAACAACAACAGGGCGCGCTGCTGTCCCGTTAGCATCGCAACGTCCTCCGGTCCATGTTGCTTAACCCTGCCGGGCGAGTACACCCGTCCACGCCTCCTGCTCAGTCCAGTCCAGCTCAGACCAGTCCCGAGGCCCACCGTGATGGAAGTGGAGGAACCCCAACAGCAGCCGGACCGCGGGGCGAGGAGCCTGCCCGGCCTGCTCTCCGGGCTGCAGGGCGCTGAGGCCAGCGCTCTGCAGCTCAGGATCAAGAACTCCATCTGGTGAGGAGGTGTTCAGATACTACTGTGCGTAGTTTGATGCTGGAAGGGAAAATCATCATCACATATCAGATTTACACTGATATGATAAAGTAAAGGATGAAGGATTTGATACCACAATGAAGGAATACTTCATTACAAGTAGAAGTCCTGCATGCAAAATGTTACTTAAGTACACAAGTATAACAGTATCTTCAGAATGTACTAATATAAAAACAGTACTCATAGAGCAGGAAACTGGCCACTTGTGAGTATTATGTTAATACAGTATATCTTATATTATGTATTTACTGATGCACTAATGTGTATGTAGCATACTGTTACAGTTGCTCAGGTGGAGCCAATTTGTGCCCACTGGTGGCCAGTTTAATCTACAACAATGCATCATATTATTACAAGATGATTATACATTTTCATGATATAATATGAATCTGCAAAGTAAAAAGCTGTCACATAAATGTAGTGGAGTTGGAAATGAAATAAAGAGGGATAGACCTATACAGTGGCAGACAGCTGAAACACTCAAATACTGAAATTAACTCACATTCCACCAGTGTGTTCACTTTAAGTAAAAGTAACAGTACTACACAGTAAAAATGTCCCATTACAAGTCCTGCATACAAAGTGTTACTTACAAAAAGTGAAGTCAATGTACAGCCATTTTACCAGCAGGAGGTACCTTAAGTATCTAAAGTAAAGTTACTCAGTATGGATGGCACATTGGCCTCGGTGTTATATTATTGCACAGTATTTTAGAGCTAAAATGTGATTATTATTACTGATACATTAACATGTTAGCAGCATTTTTATGTTAAAGTTGGTCAAGATGGAGCTGATTTGAACATTTTTCATTCTGTCAAATAGTTTAATCAGTAAGTGTCTCATATTCTATAAGACGTTTATGTATTTTCTGTGTAAAATATGAATTTGTAAAGTATCTCTAGCTTCAGATAAATGTAACTGAGTAAAAAGTACATTATTTTCCTCTGAAAATAAGTGGAAGTAGCTACTCAAGCAAAGTACATTTATCTGACACTTTACAAATGCTATATATGTCAGAGGTCTCACGCCTCTGGCGCAACTAGGGGTTAAATGTCTTACTCAGGGACACATTGGTGTCTCACAGTGGATTCAAACCTGGGTCTCTCACACCAAAGGCATGTGTCTTATCCACTGCACCATCACCACCAATTGTATAGTACTGGAGTAAATGCACATTCCACCACTGTCAGTATCTATAAATTTTAATTTACATAGTTTCAAAGCTGACAGCCCAGAGCATCAACTCTTCATTTGATGTCTTCAGATGGTTGCGTTTGTTCCTTCAGACTAAGGAGTGACTGACTGTTTTTGTTTGTTGTTAGTTTTATGTGAATAAATGTGCAGTACGCATCAGCCTACTTTAAACTGAAGCATTCTGGAAATATGTTGTAACTTGTAGCTGTCTGTTGTTTGGCCTGGTTGTTAATACTAACAGACTAAACTATGGAAAATCTGTTGAACAGGGCTCAGTCAGCGTATATTTATGTAACTAAGTGCATTTACAATGTTGAGGAACTTGTATCTGAATTGTATGAGCCCTTATTGCTAGTTTAGCAGAAAATATTGTACTTTTTACTCCATTGCATTTATTTGACATCTATAGTCACCAATTATTTTGCAGAATACGTACAAATGTGATCAGCTTGTAAAATACTATGATGCATTGCTATTTAATTAAACTACCAACAGTATTTATAGAAGCTGAAATTACCTCCACTTGGAACAGCTACAACATTAAAATGCTGATGACTCTTTAATGCAACTGTAATAATAGTCATATCGTAATACATGATAATATAAATGTGACAGGTGCATAGTTGTGCTTTTACTCAAGGAACATTCTGAATGACGGTTTTATTTGCAAATAAAGTATTGCACTTTTACTTAAGTAAAGAAAAAACATGGCGCGAGTTAACTCCTCCCTTCACCTCACACCCGCCTCCTCATCTCTTGCTTGTTTACAGATTGTTTAAAGCCATTGTCGCAGCTGTAGCAATCTACATTCCCAATCTACAATCTAAGTTCACTTTATTTTCATCATCAAAACACTACTGACACACCAAAACCAATAGCTACACCATGAAGTTCCTGTTGCAGTGGGTAAATTGACTTGACATAACTCAGTTTACTGTAGTTAACTTTTGCAACACATATCTGGTCATGTAATCACCAACATGTGTTTTTGAAAAGTGTTCATGCATACCAGACATCGCTGGCTGTGATATTGCCAAATTATTTTCACACCAGTGTATTTGAAAGAGCTCACTTTACTCTGACACCTTTGCCTGATTTTTATGCTACAAAGAACTGTTTCTGTGATTGATTGATCCATTGTTTGTCTATAAAAATGTTTAAAATATTTTTGGTCAACAGAAAAAACACAAAAGTATACTTTAATCCTTCACAGAGCTACATCTCAGGAGCTGTAATGCCCTGGAATTTATTTTATAGGATTAACAAACCATTAATGAATTAATGTCATTTTTTTGATTTTCTGTTTAATCAAATAGTTTCAGCATTACTTGATTTGCATTAAAAAAGGAACCAAACAGAATCACATGACTAAGTGAACTGGAAGTGTGAAATTACATGTGTAAAATAATGACCGGCACCCAATTCACATAACAAAATCAAAAACACTGTTTGCACACTGCATTAACTAAATTAATGCCCCAAGCATGAAGGATTGTAAAGAGTGTGTTCAGGTTAAAAATACCCAATTTTCTTAACAAATACTAGTGTATATTGTCTCTGGTTGCTGCCAAAAACAACCTTTTATTTGTGAATGTGAATGAACTCATGTACTATCATTTAAATGTCAAACAGCCATAAAATATCAAAAGTCTGAACTAACAGAAAGCACAATAGTTCAGAGTTGAAATGTCTGCAGGAAAACCTCAACTGAAACACGTCACAATGCTGAAGTTTTTGGAATCTTGAAAATTTGTCCTGCTCCTTATATCTTTAACCTTTAAGAGGATTAGAGCGTAAATATTGACGTTCACCTCAGGGGCCTGCTGCTGAGTGCTTCATGGTAGAATGAGACCGTCTTGGTCGGGTTCAGCAAGTTCATTTGCAGCTATGCCGTCACTGTGTCTTCGTATGGAGCGATAGTCTACAGTGAAGTGGCGCTGTGGAGGGAGCTGCTTTCATTCAAGCCACCCAGTCAGAGACTGGATTGCACCTGGATATAACACACAGTGTGATTTGAAGGATCTCTTGTTTCAATTCTTTGTTATTTTGTCTAATCTAAGTCTCAGGTGTCGTTCGGTGTACCTTCCAAATCTGCCTTACAAACAGCTTAATGACGGCCTTTCAGCACTGGGAAATCCTTGGCTCCCTAGAAACAGTGAATTAAAGTGAACTGTTCTTGTCGTGGCTTAGAGCGGCCCTTGTTTCTGACCTGCCTGGTGTCGCTGAGCAAGAATCTTTAAATGAGACTTAACCTTCTGTCTCAACAGCCTGACCTATCTGCAGATTAAGAATTAGACTGCAAAGAAGTTATTCATGTATCTGGTTTGACTCTGAGCAATGTATCATTGGTTTAAATCAGTATGTTGTTTTATGTTTATTTTTGGCCTAAAAAGGTGCTCTTGCGTAGGACCTTGGAGTTTATTTAGTGAATTAGAACAGCACCTTTTGTCTGAACTTTGCATGTGTACAGTATGTACATCATGGACGTGACTGGCCTTCTTTTGTTGTAGAATATGTTGTAGGCATGAGTATATGGATAATATCAGGAATCACAATGAAACAGTCTTAAAGGATTTTAGTTTATTTTTTGCTTTTCTTAAAATATGATTTAACAAAATGGATAAAAAAAAACATGAGATAAGGGTGAAAATTCACTTAAAAAAAATCTTCCTTTAAGATTAAATTCAAATGGGATGAAACAGATGTATTGTAGATTTCCACAGTGACAGCAAGTGAATTTGTGCGCTTCTGTCAGAGACAATGTTACCACAGTCTCTCTCTCTCTCTTTACATATGACAGCGTGTGTTCCTGGTGGTGGGATCCATGACCTGAGAGATGCTGGAGGGAGGGTCGTCTCATACCAAACATTCCTCTGCTTTATAAATAAATACACTTTAGACACAAGAGCTCATGTTACACTGGCTTCATACTAATCTATACTATGTCTCTTATTTTGCAGCAAATCTGTTCAAACAAAAGTGGAAAACATTCTGGTGAGTATCTTCTGCATTTTTTAACCTGCATTGCAATTTTAATGAAACCTGTTTTATTTAACTGTTCTCTGTTTAAGGATTGCTTTTAATTTATTTGTGGTTCTAGCGTGTAGAAGTGAAACACTATTGTTTCCTGATAGGTTTATTTCCTTCCTGGTATAATAAAAAACGACGACAGCAAATCTGTTCGCAGCTGATTTTTAGGTCAACCTGTAGAGGGCGCATGTGAGGCCCGACAGCTGTACTGAGCTAGTGACGTCTGCAGGTTGGTCAGGGCTCAAAAAGGTTAATTATTGGTCTTTGTATTTTAAATGTATTATAAAACCACTAAGGTTTAATATTTGTAAAACTATCCCAAAGCCTAGAAAAGGTATTTTGACCAGGTGAATGGAAAGTCTGTGTGATGGACCGGCGGGTTCAGGGACAGAGATACTGATGTTGAGTGAAGCATCTATGAATGATGACGACAAGGGCTTAACCTCCGACCGGAGGCTCATGAATATGTCAAATATGCTCTTAGTAAACCAGCGTCATATAGTTGTGTCCTCTATGAATGAAGTATAAATCAGTGTCCTCCAAAGATCAGAGGGAAACATTGTCATTTGAATTTCTAAATAAAAAGTATAATCAACACTCGTACTGAACAAAAGTCTGGAGCCCCTTCACCTTACCTTAAACAATTCAGTGATTACTAAACCCTATAATAGGAAAATGTTGGACAGAAGATATTATAACATACTAATGCTATCCCCTTGGCGTTACCAGAGAAAGGTGGGAAATTCTCAAAGTATGTCTCTAGAGTGATGCTAAAAAAAGGTCAGGGGAACGTTAAAATGAAAAAGTGTATCGGTTTATCCCTTGACCTGAAGGTGGCGCTAGAGGAACAGAAAGGGTCAAGGTCTGGGAAGAATGACTGGGCTCTAGGGCTCCAACTAACATTGTTATTGTCATTATCAATTTATTTGCCAATTATTTTCTCAATTAATCTTTTAGTCTATAAAACATAAAAAAGTAGTGAAAAACGGCACAACTTCCCAGAGCCCAAAGTGATGTCCTTTAATTGCTTGTTTTATCCAAACAACAAAATATGTGGAGGGCAAAGCACTTGCAGTTTGTAACATGTAATTTATTATAATAAATTGTAACAACAGGCAGAAAAATCATCATATTTGAGAAGCTGAAACCAGCAAATATTTGACATTTGTGTTTGAAAAATAATGAATTGATTGAAAAATTGTTTTTTCTTTCAATCTGCCAATCAGTTAACTGACTAATAACTGCTGGGCTAATACAGTTGCATGGCAATCTGCCTGTTACATATCTTCTTGTCTACACATTGAAGGACACCAGAACCATTAGGAATCCCTGGGGACCGCTGGCCTGTAGATATATTACAGTATATTTTGTTGTAGTGTTACACAGTATAAGTTATCATGAATGATGCTTTAATGTCCATGGTTTATACATACATTGTGACTGTGCAGCTGTGTGGTTTTGTGTGATGCTTTATTGGAGATTTCATAAACTGCTATATAGAGAAGAAGTTGTGCAGTACGAAGAGCCAGCTCATGTTGCTAAATTTGTATCTAGTATTGTACTTGCCAGCACAGTTGGACACCCCGTTTTTAGAAAATAACATACAGGTGCCCGGAGAGTGTCACAGTCATAAAGCCTCACAGGAGCTGCAGCATATATGTTGGAATTAGAGAGAAATCATTGTTATTTCTTTGTTGAAGTTATGGTGAATTAAAATTGTATTAGTGAGTGCAGATGTAGACACCGTGTAACTTAGCAGAACACCCCAGTATCATGTTTAATAAAAGAAACTCTCAATGCAAAAAATTCACAGTGAAGCCAAGGCTAGTAGAGGCTAGCCGAGACTTCGGTTGTCCTCGTGTAATGTTCTATATATAATATGTGATGTAATGTTGTTAACACAGACTAGGGTTCATCCACCCTCATCCCTGCCTTTCAAAAGAACCTTTTAACCTTGCACCTTGTGTTGTCTAATGTCAAAGGCAAAACTCTCAAATAAACAATAATAATAAACAATCCCTGCAAAAACTATTTATGATTCAGATGAAACAATCCAGTGTTGCTGTGATGATTAGTAAACACTTCTTGGACGAGTCATCCGGAATTATAAATGAGTCTGCACACTGAGGGAGACAAAACAATGATGCTTATTATCTTACTGCTCTGTAAATTAATTAATTAAGACACGTCAATCAAAAAGGCTCAAGTACTACTTAGACAATCCTGATGTGAACACAACTTGTTGTTGGAAACAGCATAGCTCCACAGCTTAATAAGAAGCATTGCATTATTTCAAGTCTCAATCAAATTTCATACTTACGACAACAGAAACAGAAAAATGTGTGAATGAGAACAACTATATTATGAATTCTGCTGCATTAAAACACATTATAAGTCATCACAGAGAGCAAGAGGGGAATGAACCTCCTGTGATAAGCTAAAATTGACTGATAACATCTGAAATGCTGATGTTATGACTGGGTCTAGTTCTAAAGGATGATCCAAGATGACAAACCCACTGCATGTTGTTGTGTCAGGAATTGTTTACTTCACAATGCACATGTTATTACTAAAATGTACAATGCATGTGTGTGTTTTCACGCTGGTAATAGGGTTGGGCAATATGGCCAAAATTGGTATCACGATAACATTTCATATCATTCGATATTGATAATTATCCCGATATATGCCAAATCATTATTTCTTTCAATTTTTGCTCCTGAGTGATGATTGAAGAAGATGGTTAATTATGTGGTTAAACTTATCTTATAACACAAACAGTGGATCACTTCACAAATCTGAGTTAGAACATTCAAAACTGTTATCTTTTTCAACAAATATGATTGGTAAATCTTTTTTCAGGCCTCTTTTTTCAACAAAATAAATATTTTAATAGGTGCTAATTTGTTTGTGATTCAAATGAATTAAAGCAAATATTTACTGATGCTATACATTTATAATATTGTTAAAGGGGGAAATTATATTGCGATAATTATCATTATTGTTTTATTGCCCAGCCCAGATGTGTAACATCTGTTTCAAGGTAAAGGGAGTTGAAGGAGGAGAGGAGTTCACTGTGCAGAGCTGATGAAACCGTAAGACACAGACATTGACAGTCCAAGTCAGCAGAGCAGGAAGTGAGTCACATGAAAAAGGCCAACCGCGTCCTCTTGAGTGATACAAACTGCCCACCAGTTACCGTGCTTATTTATGAGAATGATGTGTATTTAGCTGTATTCCTCATGGCTGATGCTGCTCAGTGTCTGTTACATTAAGCCATGGATGAGCTGTGGTTCCTGAGCAACAAAGAAGTTCATCTGAGCAGACGGACAGAATTACGTTTATTCTTAGGAGCCAATTGAAAGGGTGAATATATATATGAGCGAAGACATGTGTTGGCAGTGTGTGGATGTGTGTCTGAACACTCACCATGCAACGAGCTGTCTCCGGCAGAAGGGTTAATAGTTCACCTTACAGCTTCCCTACTTTGCAGAAGCCTGTCTGTCTGCAGCCCTGCACACTGTATGCGTGCACATGCTTGTGTGTCTCAACTGCACAGGTGTATGAATGCAGTATCTTTATGCTTCATAACTCTTTGCTTTAAGCCAGAGTAATGCTTTGTCCTACCCCTCACTCTTAGCCAAGGTGCTGCACTGCAGGGATGTTTATGATATGAGGTGTGTGACTTACACCAAACATGCCGTTTAGTCTGATGGCTAAAAAAAGCAAAACTTTGGTCATAGACGCTTCTTCCAGCTGATTACAGAGTGTCCCACGGGCCTTCTGACAAACTATAGCTGAGATGTCGTGTCAGTTTTTTTAAGTGGCTTTCTTTTGCCTCTCTCCCATAAAGCTACGACTGGTGAAACACCCTTTCAACAGTTGTGTGCACTCTCTCCGATCTCAGCCTCTGAAGCTTTGATGATCTGAATGCAGATAAATTAATGACAAGCTAATCTCTGGGGTTCCGAGATTTATGAAAAGCTAAATAGTCATCAGACGATAGCCGATGGGTTCCAAGATTGCAGTTCAGCCAAAGCATTCCACCTCTTTTGTCAATACTACTCGGACTACAGATGGACTATAAAAGGAAACCAGTATGCTTCCGATACCAAAATCTTGTCCCCTGCCTACAGATTCTGTGTTCATATGCAGATATCGGTTTATAAAGATTATCATCTTTTTCATTTCATTCATTCTTCTTCCTTTTCACAACACGACGCCTACATTACCCACAATGTGTAAGCAGACATTTTGGTTGGCGATTTGAGTGTGTTCTCATCTGTTTTCACTATGACATTAAAGAAAGTTTAAAAAATGTCACCATAAATCAACTTTGTTGCAATGCTGAATACTTTTACCAGGCGCTGTACAATATATGTTACTGAATTCAGGGTTAGAGTATTACACTATTGTCTTATGCCATCTCACCTCCTTCACGTTCTCATGTTTCTTTTTCCCTGTGAAGAATGTAGCACTGAAGGCTGTTTGCAGCTCAGACATATGCTGAGAAGGTTTAGTTAGTACACTCAGGTGTCTCTGTGTCGTGTGTGCTGAGTATGAATGAATGAGAGGTGAAAAACTAGAAGGCATGACCTATACCGTATGTTTTATGTGTAATTAATGCCCACTAGCTTTGCTGTTGGTTGTATTGTAAAGGGCAAGAATGTAATGTATGTGCATTAAAGGTTGAACTGCTTAGTGTACTCTATTTAAATAGTTTATTTTTATTTTGCTTCAAATGTAAGTTCATTGTGTTGGACAAGCCAGAGTATGTTTGTTACTACTCACCTTTGCACTGAGAAAAGGCCAGGCTCATTGTCTAAACTCTACTGTAATAAAGGCAGATGTGCTGTTGAGCTGTGTCACTGATAACCAATAATTGAACAAGACTAAGGGGTCTGCAGCCTTTAGCTAAATGCTAATGTCAGCATCCTCACAATAACAACGTTAACATAAAGACGTTTAGCAGGTGTAATGTTTGCAGTGTTCATCATCTTAGTTTGGAGTGTTACTATCTCTAACATTTGCTAATTAGCACAAAACACAAAGTACAGCTGAAGCTGTTGAAAATATCATTAGTTTTGCTGGCATTTGGACATAAACCGAAAGAACTAATTAAAATGTTGAGTTGATTATGGTGCTAGAGGAAAAGCCAGGGGATCACTGAAGTCAGCAAGATTCATTTCATGGGAACCATGAATGTCTGTACAAAATATCTTGGCAGTTTGACAAATAATGGTTCAAATATTTCAGTCTGTGATGTACCGACCGATCAACAGACCGACAGAGCCATGCCGCGCAGCTAAAAACATGAATAAAAAAACGTTCAGTCCTATTTAAACCAGTGATGCCAGATTTTTTTGTTATTTTCAACCCAATAATTGCTCACAATCTGCCCAAATTGATTAAAAGCTATCTCAAATATTATCTATAATAATATATGAATTCATAAACAATAGCACAGCATTGTGGTTCATATCAAATTTCAACATGACATTTCAAGTGTTCATGGCTACATCGTGCAACGCAACTACCTCTTCTTTTCAGTCCATGGCAGGAAACTAAATTGTGCTGATGAACAGGAAGGCTAAATATTAATACTCCCTTTTTATTTCTACAGCAAGATGTCGAGAAGTTCTCAGACATTGAAAAACTCTACCTCTACCTTAAGTTGCCTTCTGGTCCCAGCAGTTGCACTGATAAAAGGTAAGGATTCTTTCTGACAGACTTGTACAGGAAACTGGACATTTGATGAAATATTTATGAAACAGGAAACCACTTTAACGATCAACCATTAATAGTGGCATACAATGATATTCAATGGCAAAGAGCTTCGATCAGCTTTGATGATTTCTCGCCCCCCCCCCTTAACCGGTCGAGGCAGATGGCCGCCCACCCGAAGTCACAGTTCTATTCAAGGTTTCTACCTGCTAAAAATGGGTTTTTCTTTGCCTGTGCCTATATTAATAAAATTTAATTGAATAGAATTTTACTTGAGTCAGACAAGTGTTGTGTCTTTCGCTTTGTCATTTCTTTTCAATCAATCAATGACCCACATCTTTTCTCAGTGACCAGAGCGCCCTGTCATCAAGCCGCACACAGCAGATGCATGCGTTCAGCTGGATCCGCAATTATTTAGAAGAATACCCAGAGACCTCTCTTCCCAAACAGGAGGTCTATGATGAATACAAGTAGGTACAAGTAGAGCCGAGAGCTGAGACCTTACTGTTACTGTCATAGTTTCTTATAAACACAAAACTTAACCCTTGACATCACCGTTTATTTGAATATTTATTGCTAGTTTCCCGCTTTTGAATAGATAACAGCTACTAATGTTTGAGATTCTTTCTCCTCTAAATTGCTGCCGGCTGAAGCGTCAGTATAAATAGACGCGACAGCTATGGGAATCACAGAGGGCAGCATGTGTTGGTAATATTAGAATGGAAAGTCTGAGACAGCCATTGAAATGCTCTGACAGTGTTATGTAACTGTCTTTTTAACTCTACCAGATCAAAAATACAGTGCCCTCCAGAAATATTGGCGCCTTTGGGAGAGACAGGTGAAAAGGCTTTAAAGAGACATCTTGTTTTATACAATCAAACAATCACGTTTGTCACAATCTTTTTCAAAATTTATTGCACTACTGAAGTCTTTCTCAGGGAGTTGTTTAATTTCCTTTTATTAGCTGACATTCAAAAATTTTACTTTCTATGTTTAATAGTTTGCAGAAAAACAAACAAAGCAAACATATCCAGCTTTTAGGTAAAAAGTAAGAAGAAGACATTTGAAGATTTAACCCCCCCCCACACACACACACACCTGATAAATGTTAGTCCAACATTGCCTCTCTTTTAGCTCTGTTTTTAGACTCCACCAGCTCCCTGTTCACCAGCTAGTTGTTAACTTCTGTCTGTTGTTTGGTGCTGAGCAGGTAGTGTATAGTGGATTTATTAGAGATTTTTAATTGAAAACTACCTCTGAAAATGACACAGATTACTGTGAGAGCAAAAACTGAAAGATGATTGGCTGTAAAACAATGAGCTGGAAGACGCTAAAACGCTTTGCTGAGGGGAACTGCAGAGTCAGGGGATAATTCTCTGTCGGTTCACTGCTACGACTGATGATCGACATTATAGAAGTAATCTAAAAAATTATTTTAAAGCAGCTTCCAACCATATTTATCACATAATGATAAAAAGTTAAATGAAATCTCAGAATATAAATTTAATAGAAATGTTTTAGTTTCAATGACTTTTGTCACTTCTTTTGTCACCAGGAAAGCAAATATTAATGGCTCAGAAAATAATGGTGATATGATTTTGATTCATGCTTCAAGACAATGATAATAATACATATTTTAATAACTTCTATTCTGTCTGTTCGGCCTTTCAGGAGCTTCTGTGACAATCTTAACTACCACCCACTAAGTGCTGCAGACTTTGGAAAAATGATGAAAAATGTCTTCCCGAACATGAAGGCACGTCGACTTGGCATGAGAGGAAAATCTAAATATCCTTCAATGTAATGGATTGTAACAGACTGGCCTCTGTCTCTGGTCACAGACCATCTGCTGTTGTAGTTCATTACCTCTCTAAATATAGATGTGAAATTAAATAAAGTCCCCACTGCCTTGGAAGCACAAGCATAATGCAGAGGCCCCTCAGGGGGGTCTCTGTGATCTTGACCTTCATGATGCAATAGTGTTGTTTTGTTTTTTTTGTTGTAAAACTGGGTTATATTCATGACCTTCAGTCACTCAGGTTAATGAAATTATGATTGTGTGAAGTGAGATATATAGGTCATTCATTTTATGGGTTAAGATGTGGAAGAACTTTAAATGTATGTCTTTTGTTTGATAGAAAGCTGGTTTTTGATCTTAACACCAGCTTACATATTGCTACAGCGGACTAAGGAAGAGACCCTTTGTTCACATGCCATCTTTACCCACTCTGGATCTCCTCAAACCAGGGGATGGAGTAAGCATATTTATGTCTTTCCCTATGAATATTTCTCTTTATATTCTGGATTCATTGTTGCCACTCTCCTGCCATGCAGTGTGTGATATCCCATGTATATTTATAACAGCATATCTATTGTGTGTCGCTCCAGTGTGATGTCCTAGAGTCACAAGGCCAGCTGAGAAGCATAAAGGAGGATGTGCGATTTGCAGCCTGTGATCTAGTGTGTGAGTGGGCCCAAAAGGTACTGAAACGCCAGTTTGACGCCGTGGAAGACTTGGCTCGCTTCCTAATCGACAGCCATTACATCAGCAACAAGTCCTTGGCAGCTCTCACCATTACCACCGGCACAGCAACAGGTAAGACCGTTCATGTCTGCATCATGGCTCCCTGTGTAAAAACAGGTAAATAGTGGCATCTGGTGGTATTTTCCTGTTACTGCTCTTTTGTTCCAGTCTGATTTTGTGAGGGTAGCTGTATTTTTAGGTTCAAGTATCTGAAACGTTTTACAGCTTTAATAAACAACAATTAGTTGTCTGTAGACCCCAAAATAATCTAACCTGCAGTTATTTTATGTACAGGGTTTCTGCCAAAAGAAAAAAGTTATCAAACAGTATTAGAGAAGAGAATTTATTATCTTTAGCTAACATTGTTAACATTATTTCTTAAGTTGTTTTTATTTTGATATATTTTAGGGCAGTGATAATTCATTCATTAATTCATTAATTAATTGGACAAGCCTATTGTTATCGCTGGGCTGACTTAAGTGAACTGGTGCTTTCTATACAGTCAGTGTGGTTTTGGTGTTGTTCGATTGACATGGTGTTGCAGGTGTGGATGTGATGGATGACCCGGCGTAATCTGTAATTATCTACGCTGACCTCATAGTACTGATCACCTGTTTTATTTCCTAAAATCGCATAGGCTAAAGACCGTAAAAAAAACACAAAGCGATTCCCTTCTGTGTTCCTATTTGATGTTGTCTTAGTTTTTTTGTGAATTTTATGAATGCTTGTGTATTGAGTTCTTATTTGTTGGCACTTTTATCTTATATGTGATCATTTAATCAGTTATTGGTACTATTGACAATTGTGTGTTGTTATTAATTTGGTTGTCTTGTATTAAGACTGTTTTAAATAATTTGTTCCTGGACATTGCATTTATTATTGTATTTTTAATGTGTGGATTTCTGAACAATTTGCAACTGTTAGGAGAGAAGCAAATGGGGAACCAAAATAATAAAACAATGAGTTAATAAGTTATGGTGTTGTCTAATGATCAAACCTAATTGTACATGTAACTCAAGCTTAGCATGACACCTATCTAAATCCCCTGTTTCCTTTCTTTAGAGGTTAATACTCCACAGACAGTCTCAGCATTTGTCTCCACTGCTGAGGCTCACTCCTTCCAGCCTCATGTGACAACCCTGTCCTCGCCTTCTGTCGATGCAAAGCAGCAGCTCCAGAGGAAGATCCAGAGGAAACAACAAGAACAGAAGCTGCACTCACCTTTACCTGGAGAGGGACACACCAAGAGAGCAGATGACAGCGTGCCTTGTGCTAGCCCCACCCCTCCATCACCTCAGCCAACCATAGGCATCATGGTCACTGCTGTCCCAAGCCCCATCACGGTGAGAATGCAGGACTCTCAGTTTAGATTACACTGTTTAGTGTACATTTGTTTTATCTACTGTATTTAATCCAAGAGGAATTTGACTTAAAATGGAAAATGATATAATTTTATTAATGTAGAACCTGATAAACAAAATTTTAAACCTTTTTGAATTTAACAAGTCAGTCGCTTAATTAATTAGTAAAACTGATTAAAGTCTGACCGCTGCATTGTTATCAAAATTACACCTGTTCTTTTCATTCTAAAAAATTAATTTAATACTGAAAATACTGGCATTAAACCAGTAATCAGACTACTGCAAATTTTGTTCAAAATGACACCTCTCATTCAGTTCAGTTTAATAACTCTGAACCTACTACTATGAAAAACATAAATACAATCAGTCCGTGATATTTCTTACTTCAATGTTTCAGCGAGTAATTTTGTTCAGATATGTTTCTTTTAGAAAAACACATTCTTGATCAAAACAGATAATAATTGATTTGGCTGTAGTCATCATAGGAACAGCTTACACAGTTAATGTATCATCCATTTACAATCAAACAAAATGTAAACTACGGTAAACTAAAGATATTTAACCCACCATTGTACTCAAACTAATATCACTAATATGTCACCTGTTCTCATATATTTAAACATTGAGACACATCTGTGTACTTAAAAAACATTGTTTTTACTCATAACTAAATCTACTTAAAGCTGAGGTAAGCAATGTTGGAGAAACTATCAAGAGACAGCTAGAGTTTGAAAGTATCCAATAGATAACATCCCACCCCCTCCCTTCAGGCCTCCCCCAAAACACATTTTCATGCACAGTGAGTGCACACAGGTAGGCAGGTAGACCAGCCAGACATGTGTATTACAGTCCTGTAACAGTCACAGATTTTTTCATTTTTGTGTCAGAGCATTCAAGTTATTGAATCCTGTCGGGATTCAACAAATATAACAAAAAAGGCCTCTAAAATAAGTCACATAATATGTTGTCAGAAAGCTTGTGATTATCATGGCCTTCCCTCTCTGCAGGTACAGAGAGGCCGGCAGCTGATGTCCCCTAGTCCAATGGGAACAGTAGAGAGCAAAGTACTGCCAATTAACTTCCAAATGGTGACACAGGCAGTGAAACAGAGCCCCAAAACCCCTCAAAATATTCTAGCCAGTCCTTCGGGAGAACGCTCTGCTCGGCAGCGCTATGCACAAATCCTGCCCAAGCCCTCGGCCCCGACAGCTATCACTTTGCGCTCGCCCTCCGCCATGATCATCGGCAATAGCCCCATTAAGACTATGATGACTACATGTCATGTCAGCCCAGTCAGTTTGGTCAAGATGACAGCCATCTCGCTTTCACCCAGCAGCAGTACTACCACATCCTTCACAAACACCACTCTGCGGCCTGCATCTGCAGGCATTAGCAGTTCTGCAGTTGCAGAAGACATCAGCTATAATCAAAGCATGAGGAGCACTTCTGCAGTCCCCATTCTGGCCAGGCCAGGGCAGACTGCTAACACCCATACCATCGATGTTGAAATGGAAATTGAAGCTATACATAAAAACAGCCAAATGCAAAATCCTAGCAGTCTAATTTTGACTCAAGGAGCAATGGCAAATAGGGCTGGAGGGGCTGTACAGAGGGCTGCCAGTGTGCCCATACCTCAGACTAGAGGCTTCCTGGGTCTGGAGGAAACATCCAGCACTAATTGCAATGGAAAATCTTCCTCATGCACTAACAGTGTGGCACTAACACTCTGTAACACTGCCGAAAGCAGCAATAATGGCGCCAATAATACGAGCACTTTGCACTCAACTCCCTCTCCTCAGAATACCAGCGCTGTTTCTTTACTGAACACCAGCAGAGCACCTTCAATTGGGGAAAACAGCAGTGTTACATCAGCAAAGGAAGGTTTCTTGTCCACTAAGAGCCCCAGGAAACGCTCTGGCCTCAGTCCAGACCTTTCGCCAGTCAAAAGGGCTTTTATGCAGCCAGTAGAGGGCGCTGCTGGTCTTGGATATGGGATTAGAAACCCGGTCGGTAACGTCCAAAGGCCAGGAGCTCCAACTAGACCTGAAAGTGCACCAGCTAGCAGGGAGGTAGAGTCGAAAATGAGCTCTTCCACTCAAGTCCACGCACCCTGTACTTCCTCTTTCACAGCCAGTGGCTTCTACTCTGTTGCCAAAACACAGAGCCCAATGCAGAGGAAAAACACTCCCACTGTTATGGAAACTAGCACTTCAGTAGGTCTTTCGTTTATACAGCAACAGCATGGGCACACAATGGCTAACGTGCATGCCGTACCAAATAACCCCGGCCTCCAAAAACACGGTGTGAGTGATGGTAGGGGTTCAAACTCAACCACAGGGAGTCTGGAAGGAGCTCAACAACAGACCTACACTGAGTCTAACCCTGCAACTGAACCCTTAGACTTTTTCAACCAAGCTTCATCATCAAGCCAGCTCCCTATGCAGACCGATATGGACTACTTTCCCTTTGATGATGATGTGACTCAGGACAGCATCGTGGAGGAGCTTGTGCAGATGGAAGAACGTATGACATTTAACAACCTGCAGGAGTTTGGAGACTGTGTCACACTGCAAGGCCAACAAGCTGCGATGCCGGACAACATAATGTCCACAAATCAGCCCATGACCGCTTTCTATCACGCCGCAAACAGCCGCAGTAACCCGATCCAAACTCCCACACCCACATCGGAAATGATGGGAGGAGCCCAAGGCCTAACCGGAGAGAGCCCCTGCTTTCGCATCGCCTCCACCACCCCAGTGGACAGCGCACTGGGAAGCAGTCGTCACACCCCAGTTGGTACTCCACACTCCAACTGCAGCAGCACTGTGCCTCCCAGTCCAGTAGAGTGCAGGAACCCGTTTGCATTTACACCAATTAACTCCAGCCTCACTGGTTTCCATGACGGCAGCACCGTCTCCAGCAGCCCTGTCAAGCCCATGCAGAGGCCGATGGCCACCCACCCGGACAAGACACGGCTGGAGTGGATGAATAACAGTTACAACAGCAGCAGTGGGAGCTTAAACAAGTCAAACAGCGGAATGGGTATCCTCCCCAGCTATCAAGGCCTGATAGGAGACCAGTTTCAAAAACCTCATGCCTTCGCCGTGCCTCATGTGCGTCACCATGACACTCATTTTGGCCGCTTGACTCCCATCTCGCCTGTGCAGCAGCAGGTAGCTAGCATGGCTAGCACGGCCAAGCAGGAGGGTTTTGCTGTGCCTGCCCCTCTGGATAACAAAGCCACCAACACACCTGCTGCAACTTTCCGATGTCGCAGTGTAAGCCCCGCTGTGCATCAGAGGAACTTGGGTGGAAACACAGGAAACCTTCCTCATATCCCTCGTTCAGTCGTGTCTCCCTTTAACTCTCCTGTGACGCCTGAGGTGTTAAACATCTTTGCAAACAGCCAGACAAATCTTGGAGTGAGCAGCATGGCTCAGCGGAGCCATTCTGTGCCGCTCAACATCATGATGCAAACTGAGGTATTGCCCACGCCAGGCCGACAACGCAACAGCAAAAACATCACCAGTGTCCTTCTGAGCAAGCTGGATGTGGACCATGATGACACTGTTCGGGGTCTGGGCATCAATAATTTCCCCTCCAGCTACACTGCACGCATGAACCTCACCCAGATCCTCGAGTCCGACCCCAGCCTTTCCTGCAGTGACAACCACCTCAGCCTGATGACCTCTGACCCCACCGGCCCATGCAAGTTGCAGAGGCCAAATTACCACATCGAAAATGCTATTAATGAAGAAATGCTTCTCTCAGCAGGTGACAGCCGAGCACAGTTAGCCTCTGGAGAGCAGCATCGACAACAGGCCCAGTCTATGTTGTTAAGTCTGAGCTCACAGCAGCATCAAGAACTACAACAGCATCAGCAGTTGGATTTCAGCAGCACTGTGAAGGACCTCCTGACAGACAACAGCCTCACTGCTGGCAACCAGCTCATGGAGCAGCTACCTACAGGCGGGGCAGATTTCCCTTGTGAAATCAGAATGACATCGGAGCTCTCCAGCAGCATCAATGACCTTAACGCGCTGGACACAAACCTTCTGTTTGACCCCAACCAGCAGCAAGGGCAATATCACAATGCTGCTTCTGCGGAGGAGGAGTTGGTGAGTGATCCGCTGTTTCAGCAAATCGCCAGTGAGGCGGCACATTCAAGTGGACTCGAGTGGCTAGAAAGCAAAGATCATCCAACAGTTGGACTGATGGGTTGAGAATAGACCTTTCGGGGGGGGGGGGGTGTTGTCATGTTGAACATGTTAACCTCTGGTTGCTGTTTGTTTTATTATTTATTTTCAGGAATTTACACTTTATAATGCAACCCTGGACACATTGAGGTTTGTCCAGTTTAAGTGCCAGCCTGAACTGCAATGATGCTGCAAAGCTCTGATTAAAATGCTGGTCATTTCCCTTAAATCAGAGAACGTCGGCTCACGTTGTTTGATCAAGAGTATTTCCAACAAGTAAACAAAAGGTTACTGAACAAAAAAAAGAAATCTCACGCTAAACCTGTGGGGGGGAGTTTATGTTGTGTTTGATATTTCACTGAAGAATCAGTGAACAAATCATAAGAGTCATGGCTTTCTTAGTGTAAAGTTAGGTGAACCTTAATGAAACAACATTATTATTTATATTATTACAATATCATTGTGTCTAAATCTCAACTGCAGGCATTATGTAATTAAAGCGAAGTGTACAAAATATATTTTGTACACTTCGCTAATGTCATAATTGACATCTGTGTGCATATACATTCACTGAAAGACACTGGAAGGATCACTGGAAGTATCTTTGTACGAGCTTTAGGTGTCAGTCTGGTTCTTTGTTTGAAAAAGATATTAACATCATGTTTAAAAGTTTACACTCAATTTATGGAAATATCATTTAGTGACAAAAACATAGAACCAAATTCATCCATTTGAATCCATTTAATATATTGTCACGCTAATGAGTTGGCATGGAGCGTATAATGAGATGTGGATGAATTGAAAATAATAAACGTAGTAGCTAATAATATAATCTTAAACACAATAGTGTTACTACCTTTACTGGTGGTTCACCTTGATGGAATACATGAAGAGGATCTGTTAATGCTTTAAAAGTCAACCTCTCATCTTCTAATCGGCATGAGAATCAAACCTCGGTGCTTTATAGAGCTCAGACAACTTGAAAATGATGATAGCAATAATATAATTAGGCCTCTTTTGCACATTGTTTTGCCTTTTAAACCACAAAGGAAATTGTCTTTAATAATGATAACTATTTCATTTCATTTATTAGGATCCCCATTAGCTGTAGCCAAAGCAATAGCTATTCTTCCTGGGGTCCACACAGACTCAATAAACTATAAAGTTGTAGAAACTCAAACAAATCCCTTTAATTTACATGCACAAAATGTTCTTTGTTAACTGTTTAATAGATATATTAAGAAATATCAGCAATACACCATGTGGAAAAAATTATGAGTTTGACTCTTAACAACATTAAGCCAAGAAGAATGACTGATTCTGCAATGACACCCATAAAAACTGCTTTATTTATTGCATTGAGTATTTATATGATAGTTACCTCACACAGAGCATGGTGGAGGAGTGTGAGATACCTGTCATGTTCTGCACTTTTAAGTAAAGTAGGAGGACAGTAAAAATAAAAAGTCCATTTTCCTTATTGTGCGGACTTTGAGTCGAAGGTTTTCATCTGAAAATGACTAAATGGACTTAGTAGATGAAACTGAGTGGAAATTAACACTTTATTTCTAAAGTTGGTAGCATCAAGAACTTGAACAAGTTTGCTTCCTAATGTAGCACTTATCGTACGGCACTGACAATCTGTAATATTTTTGTTTCTTTACATAAATGCACTGTGTTTGGTTTGGATGACGGAGGAGTATCTTTCACTGCATGTCCTGCCCACTAATCACGCCCAATGATGAGCCGTGTGTAAAGAAGACATGCAGCCATGGGTTTTTGGTCTTATGTCCATACCAAAGACTTGAAGTATAAGATGCAATAACGTGCTCTAAGATCTGGGGTGTCTAATATAAATCTCCTCTGCAAGGGAAATACAGAGTAATGTTTGATAACAGCCATAACAAATATATTCTGTAATATGAAAAATAGTTGACATTTGCAGCACTGGAAAAGCATTTCTTTATAAAATCAGTACGTTAATAATGATTTATTTTACTATTGTTGATGCTTTTTTAAACCCAACTCGTAAATAACGTTTTTATGGAGACAAAAAAAAAACACTGTTTCTTTGTATTAGCTTTAGATTCCTGAGCGTGTTTGTATTGCTGGTCACACTAACTTTATTTGTTGTACAGATTGGTGGTGTGGCCTGTTTCCCAGTGTGTTTTTGTTTTACTGCTGGTTTATTTAGAGTTGTTTGCTTGTACAGAAGCTACAATCTTGCAAACCATAAACTCTTGTGAATTCACAATAATCTGACTTGCACTGTTAATGATGTTTTGTAGCATACTTTTTTAGTGTTATAGCGTATTACCACGCGTCATCAGTTCAGTTCTTCTTTTTTTGAACGGATGATTTGTCCAATACATTGTAGCGAATAATGAGAAAATTTAATGAAACAGCCAAGATGCAAGTTGTTATCCAAAACCTTTCATTACTGGATTTTGGCAGAAAATTACCACAGAAAATATTTGCACGTTTTAAAATGTGGAAATGAGATTCATGTCAGATTGTATCAGTGTAATAATAATAATTTCATTTGGAGTATAATTTAATCTTGAGAAATTTAGACAAAGTGTTCTTATATATTAAGTTTTTGAATCTGTTGTCTCAGTTTTTATGTTTATCTATACTGTATCTGTGAAAACATTTGCATTTATATGGTTAGCACTGACGTTTGCGTTTAATAAAGACTTTACCCTTCCTCTTGTTGAAAGAAATGCCCCCCACTGTTATGTCGCTGTAGTCAGTGTACAGGGGATACTTTCTTTTTTTGCATTTTAGCAAGTGCTTTTATAAGGGGGAGTGCTTGTTGATACTGGTTTGTAAAGATTTTTTAAAACTAATAAACATTTTTAAGTACATCCTGGTATCCTGGAGTTGGTGTTTCTTTAATATCTGCATAAAGAAAGGGCCTAGGCTTGGCAAGAGACTGAAGCTGGCTGCACATGGAACATGTGCTCCTTCACCTTTGAAATGTTATAAACAAGCCGCTTTAGTAAGTAGAGGTCATTTGTTGGCATTAGTCTACAACATCTTCAGAAACAAATACTGTATTCCTCTTTGTTAGGACAAAAACAGTTCAGGAATGTATATCCTCACCTGTATTTCTACATTCAGAGCACTCTTTTTCAAGTTTTGCATGCTGATATTTCTGAGAATGATTGCCTTGTGCTGTGTCCATAATCTCTCCCTTCTTTACTCATTCCCCACCTTGACAAAATTATTGCGTTTATTAAACAAAAATGAGGTTTAAGCAGAAAGAAGCATGTTACACTACAGATACAGCATTTTTCCTGCATATTTGTCTTCCTGACAATCCGAGCATGCAAATATACCCAAAATTCACTTATGTAATTGGCAATGTTTTCTTTAATAAATTAAATTAATCAAATGAGACTGACGTCTGACTGTTGTGACCAAGATTGAATAAGGAAACCAAAAGATGCTTTCTTGGTTTGTTTACATCTTCACGAACTCTGGCAGAAATTTCGCTTTGCAGACGCTCTGTAGGTAAGTGCTAATAAAACTTCCAGACTCTTAGCAAGACACAGTGGGATTAGAAATAACACACTGTACAGGAATAATTCAAGTCAAAAGTTCACAAGGCCAATGAGGCGTGAGATATTTAATTTGGCTCCGTCTCTCTGAAAAAACATTTATTATTATTAATAATAAAGAATAATCTGAATATCGGGCGATGTTTGTTTTATGTGGGATAAATCGGATGATTAACATTTTTCACACTAAGCTGATTGCAGACATTTGCAGGTGTAATTTTAATTAGTTTTCACAAGTAGATTCTCACAGAGTTTGGCATCAACATGCACTCACAAAAGTTTCAGTAAACTGTAAACTTTATCTGTGCTGAGGACTTGATGTTATCCAAATTGATACTTCAATGCATGACATTTTCTTTTAATGAGGAATTATTGTATTAATGTACTGATACATTTAATTTAATATGTGATGACGTTCTCCAGAAAATCATAATAACAGTTCATTTTAATCTGATGTGGAGCAGTGGTCTGTCTTTTCCCTACCTCCTTCCCTAGTTCTTCCCCTACCCTTCCTCCTCCCACAGCTCATCCTCCACTAGCTCCTTCATTAGCGCCTCCTATAGCACTACTAGCTCTCCCTCTATCTTTTCTTAGCACCTCCTCCAGCTCCTCCCTTGCCTCCTCCTCTAGTTTTTCCCCAAGGTTATCCCTTACTTACTCCTATCGCACCTCACTCACCCCCTTTTCCTATAGCTCTTCTTCTTGCTCTTCTTTCAGCTCCTGCTCCAGTTTTTCCCAGTGTCTCCCCTACCTTGTCCCCTTGCTCTTCCTCTAGTAACAGAAGATGTTGCAATAAAGAGAAGTGAAGATCACTGTATGATAAGTATTGGTGCAAATGCATATAGAATATTATTGTTGAGTGAAACACTATACAATGTTGAGCATAGGATAAAATATGACATTTTCCATTTAATTAGCAATGTTTTGCTCTGTTTCGGAGTTATCACTTTACACTAACTTTAAAAAAATAGGGAAATCTTCTCAGCATATCTCTTTTGAATAAAGTCAATCCCTTTTTTGTAATATTACTACAGTCAGAAGGCAATTTATGAGACTTATATTCACACCTATATAAAATATCTCCAGAAACCAGCTGGCAGGCAAGTGGTGGTGTGGCTCCAAATGTTCCCCTCGGTCATTAGATGACAGTAAGAATGACGACAGGAGTAATGGTGGCTACTGGACTGTAAATGTTCTCAACACCTTTGTTTGAAACTGACAAAAGAAAGACTAACACTTTTGGTCCATCTTTAAATATAACACCAAATGTGGGAGCATTCTTGGGGTTTCCTGAGGTGAGTCTGTGTGAAAGTGGAGCAGGTTGGCACAGCGTTTCATTTACAGCAGGACCAGGTCTCATGGTGCTGACAGTCTTATTCATGGGAGTCCTCATCTGATACTTTGGGGTTTGGTGCATTTGAAGTGGATTTGAAGGATTCATAACTTTTTTAGTAAGCTCTAGTAAAGATACAATACAGATCCTTTAGATTCTTACTGTCAGGTTTTCAATACAATCAGAGATAAAGCCTCAGTCTGTCTCACAGTCCTCCATCTGTGAAACAAGACGCAGCTTTCAAATTCAATAAACTCTGACCCACGACAGAATATAGAAACTTACGTCAGCAGAGAACGTATACTGAGTAAATATCTTGTGACTAAGGTCCATTGTCACACAATAAAAAATAAGATCAAACCTCATTAAAGTTGAGTGTTAATTTAACACTTAATTAATGTTTTTTCCATATAATGCACGTAATAACGTCCTTGACAAAAGTAGATTTCACATATACTTTACATGCAATTATATTTATGATTGTTAACACTTTAAGTGATATAAAATCATCATTAAATAAACCTGTCAAGGTCATCCTTTTAGATAGTCAAAGTCTTTGTAAAACCGGCCCCACGTCTAGAGTGGTCACGAGTGTAATACGTAATCTTTCCTTTAACGATCAATAACATGTAATTCAATAACTGATTACTATCACTATGGTGGACACATTCATATGTGGGAGGTGAGCAGTATATCTACTGTCCTACGCCGTTGGCCACTGAAACAGTCGGGTGTTTCCTCTCTGGGGGATTTCTTGACCATTCCTGGAGCTACAAATATTTTTCCTTGAGCCTCCCTGAGTGACAGGGGGGAATGCATGACCCTGCCTCCACCATAAATAACCAAATTTTATTATATTCACACCAAAGATAGCTAGTGACTCTTAAACCTTCACCCTCTGGCCCCCCTTCCCTCATGAGAAAAAAGCAAACTACCAACAATGTGTCCTCTCCTATTGTAGCCTATTGTAAAAGTTACTATGACAATTCCAGCTGTGAAACAAAAACAAGACGCTAACTTAGTCCAGCAGATGCAATGAGCAAAAAGCACGGGGGGGGGGGGGGGGATATGTGTGCATGACAGCCACCTGTGAAACAACGGTTGTATGTAATCTAACAACCATATTTAGCTGGGTTTTAATGTGTTTTGACCTCCAAATCACCAAATCAATTTATTCTACAAGAATGTGATGTTCTATTAGTAGTCTGGCAACAGTCAGATCAATTACTAACAACATCTTTTATTAATGATCAAATATTGGAGGTGGAGTTACGGGAAGCCTTGATAATTCCAACCACAGCTGTTTCTAGTCAGCTAGATGTCTAGGCTACATAAAACTAATAACTATATTTCATCAGTGCAACATGGTCACTGTGACTTATAGTATACTATGACATCACACTTTAAACCCGCCATTAAAATTCATCTCATATCCAGATTGTATCTAGATATGACCTGTATTTTCCTGTGGTCAAGCACTATCTGACTGTAATCTGATCACCCAAAACGCATTCTAATGCCGGGTACACCACAGAGGGGTGGAGTCGCACTGTGGCCAAACATACACTGCGTACACAATTATTAGGCAAGTGAGTATTCTGATTGAATGATTTTTTCTTTGCATAATTTCCAACTCCAAACCTTGAATGCTCATTGGAGTTAATCATTTTCAAGTGTGTAATTAGGGAGGGTGGCGAAAGTGAATCACACCTTATATCAAGGTGTGCATAATTATTAGGCAGCTTCATTACTTCAGGTAAAATGGGCCAAAAAAAGAGGTTTAACTGACACTGAAAACTCAAAAATTGGATTGGGCCCATGGCTGGATCACTGAAGGACACGGCACCACTTCGACTCAGGCACCAGCAAGGTGGAGGGGGGCCACTGGTATGGGCTGCTATCACTAAGGATGAGATAGTTGGACCTTTTCGGGTTGTAGATGGACTGAAACTCAACTCCCAAAACTTACTGCCAGTTTCTGAAAGATACTTTCTTCAAGAGAAAACTCACCTTTTCTTAAATAAACATTTAAGTTTCAGGTTTAATTATATTTTGGATTGACTGAGAGCATTGTGTTTGCTCAACAATAAAATGAATCCTGATGCCCAATACTTGTGCATGCAGCGCAAGTCCCTCCACAGTGCTTAAAAAGAATATTTGACAAGCCTCCTTTGTTTGCTGAGTTTGATTGTTGACAGCCCAAAGCATTTGTGCACTTTTCTGACAGTTTGTTTCTCCAGACCTCCTGTGTTTGAGCCAGAAGTTTGGCTGCACACAATTAGTTACAGTAGCAGCTTGCCAAACGTGGTGAGACTAGTTATTATTCTGAGGTTGTGGTTCCCAACAGTGGTCCTGGTTTCAGTACTCCCACAATTTCTATCCTACATATTTTGTACTAAGTGTTCAATTACTACAAATAATCAATACCTTAAGTTACTGCATAAGTAAGTTAGAAGTATCGTGGGTTTTCTTACAGGTTTCCTAACTTCTGGGCAACCATTGCTTTCGGTTTCATTTCTGTAAATTCAGTTTCAGTAGTAAACCACCTTCCAGAAACAAGAATCTTAACATACAAACACGAGGCAAAAATAAAAGCAGGGTATTTCCATTTGGTGACATTGTACCTTTTAAACCACTACATTTATTTGACAGCTAAACTTACTTTACATATTAGTGTTTACCTCAAGCTGTATCGTCATCTTATTAAACTACCCAACAGTAGGCTGTGAAAAATAATTTTAATTAGTTCCACCACAAATTGCTAACAAAATGCAGCGTACATATGAATGCATCAATAATAATAACAACAACGACAATAATAATAGTACAGTAATACAATGTTAAAATATATCACCACGTAACAGACTGGAGCCAGAGTACTTTTTGCTGGTGGTGAAAAAAGTTCTCAGATATTTTACTAAAATATTTTACTTTTACGTAAAAGTAGCAACACCTCACAGTAGAAGTTCTCTGTTTCAA